CTTTTTACATTGAAAAAATATTAAAGATCTATTTTACAATAAAAAAACAAAGTATAATAAAAATAAATATTAAATTAATTAAACTAATATTATTTCTTTACGTAAGTGGACATTTAATACCCCTCAAATATGAATTACCATAGCTACTACCTTTAAAATTTTATTCTTATAAACTGACTCGTGTGAATTTTTCATGCAACATACTAGCACATTCTCATTACACACAAACACCTTCTTTCGGTACTTTTACTGAATCCCAAAATTATCCTTTTGTCACCTCACCAAATAGACACACGTGGAGGATAAGAAACAAAGGCTTATAAGCACGACGAGACGGGAGCACCGTTAGATCACTTTCCCACAACACTCATCACACACCTTAACCGTTACCACTCTCAGCAAAGTATACTGGATCATGAATAAGTACTACTATTTTACCTTGCAAATAGTAGAATATTCAAAATTATAGATAAAGTAAAAGATATTAATTGAGGATAAGAATTTTGAATATACAATAATTTGTGTTCTTATTTCAACTTGATGATCCAAGTCAAACAATCTCAATTTTAGTGAAAGTATATGGTTTGAGTTGGTTGAAAATTTGTCAAAAATCAAATTAATTCGATTGAATTTGATTAATTTATATTTTTTTTTATCTCAAATTGATAGTATGTACACCCCTAAAATTTACATAAAACATTAAATGAATCAATAGTAATGATAATTTTACATCTATATCTATATTTATATATTTATGTAAAATTGACTGCACATAATCATTACAGAGTGTATTAAATTTTGAAACATAAAAATTTATTGTTATATATGTAACTTCATTTACATATTACTCTATACATTAAAATTCAGAATGTATAAAGTCATTTGCAATGACTACACTTACTTATTACTTTGTACATTAAAAATTGAAATGTATAATTTATGAATTAAAATTATATTTTTATTCACACTTATTATTTTTAAATTATATTTAAAAAATATTTATTATTATTGACGGTTATATTATGTTACAAACAACAACATAACTATTTATACTATAAATTAGTTTAAATTATCGTTATTAAAATTAATTATAATATTTTTATAATTTATGAATTAAAATTATTACTGTATTTTCATATAATCTATATTTTATTATGTACTTCAAACACTAAAATAAATTTTAAATTACAAAAATTAAATGTATAAAATTATTAGTTTATATTATATGTTGTTAAATTAAATTTATAATAAAATATAAATTTGCATATTTAAATTGTTTTATTAATTAGTTTAACATAATCTATATTTTAATATGTACTTCAAATATTAAAATATAATTTAAATAAAAAACACATTTATAAAATTATTTATTTATATTATATATTGTTAAATTAAATTTCTAATCAAAATATAATTTTCTATTTTTTAAATGATTTTATTAAATATTTTAATATAATCTATTTTTTAATATTTATTAACAATACTAAATTGTAATTTGAATTAAAAATACTACATTTATCAAATTATTAATTTATAATATATATTATTTAATTAAATTTCTAATGAAAAGATAAGTTTATAAATTTAAATTATTCTATTAATTGTGTTAATATAATATACAGTTTAATATATATTTCAAAAATTAAAACTTACTTTAAAATTAAAAAAAAATTATGCTTTCATAATTATTAGTTTATATTATATATTGTTAAGATCAAATAAGATAATTTAAAATTACTTTCATAATTTAAAAATTGTAATCATAATTAATTTATACTTATTATTTTTAAATTGTATTTAAGAAAAATTTATTAGAATTGATAATTATATAATGTTAAAAATGATAATAACAAAACTACTGTAAATAATTTTTAGTAAATAATTTAAACAAATTTCAAAAATTTTTAGGTTAAATGTTAAAAATAGAAAAAAGAATATTAATTAAATTGTACAAAAATACTTTTGAGAAAATTTTATAAAATTCTCGAATCATCTTTTAATTATAAATAAAAATGTATATTTATTTTTAACTTTTATTTAATATTTGAATGTTAATTATTCTTTTATATTATATATTATTAAATTAAATTTTAAATGAAAAGACAAGTAAACTATAATACAAATAAAAAGACAACTTTTATTATATTAATTTTTTATTTTCTAACTTTTCATATATCAACAAGTAGAATTTCATCTCTACTTATATAAGTCATACAACTTTTGAAAATTAATTACGGTTTTTCTATTGTCATCCTTTTTCTTTGCATTTTACAATCATGTTAGCTGTCAAAAATTATCTACTCACGTAAGTACATATATTTTTGAGTTTGATATTTTTAGTTTGTTTCACTAAATTGTGTTATATATTTCAATTTAATTTTTTGAGCAAGCATAAAGCTGTATTTTTTTTAAATGATATTATGTATTGAATTTTATTTTTAACAGATTAATTTGTATCAAATATATCATTATTATTCATGCTTTTGTAAGAGAATAACAAGTTGCAATAAAGATAAATGAACTTTTCTTAACGATTTGAATTCAACAAAACATATATCTCCAATGGTAAAAACACCAAACCAAAAAGAAAGAGAAAATTAATGTATAAATTATAAATTTGTAATGTATTGTTTAAATTTCTTAGATCATAAAGTAATTTATATTTGATATTTTCTTTTAGGTCATAACTTGATGAAGATGAAGCAGAAAATGGTGAATAAAAGGCAACAATGGAAGATTTAGAAGATTAAATCATTTTTATTGCAATATTGTATAAATGCTTTTAATATTATGAAGACTTTAAAAAGAAAAATGTCATCAAACATTTAAATTTTTTATAAAATAATTTCGTTATCTTATTATATATATATATATATATATATATATATATATCTTATTTTATTATTATATATATTATGTATTAACTTTGTTCTTAACATAAAATTTGTTTAAATTTTATATGTGACTCATAAATTTTATATTATATCAACATCTGTAATTTTAATTGATATAAAGATTAATTTGTATATTAAATAAAATTATTATTCTCTTTTAGTTTCTACCTAAATCTTAAATAAAATTTTTTTAACTACTATTTTTTTATCTACTTCTATTATTTTATTTTTTTTAAAATAATTTAATAGGAATTGACTTATCATAATTATGTATAACCTATTAATGTAGATAATATTTTATTTATATTTTATATTATAATAATTACAATAACAAATTTAATTTTTTTAAATTAAAAAATTAACAATATTTTTACTTAATGATTTTGTTACAATTTTTTTATATAAAATGTTATAATGATGATGTTATATTGTAATTTTTTTAATGTTATAATATATAGATAACCATGTTTTCTAATGGAAAAATTTTGTCAGTTTGTAGACTTAAAGTTAAGTCTTAGGATATTAATCAAAATACAGGTATTATACGTAAAAATATTAATTCAATACAAATATTTTTTATTAATATAATTATTTATTATGTTATATTTTTAAAATTATATATTTTTATTTTAAAAAATATTTAAATTAAGTTTACTAAATATTATTTTTTTATTATAAAACTATGTGATATATCAAATATTAGATTATAAATATAGACATATAGATATCACAAAAAAAAATTATATTTAAAAGCAATCATCAAATCTCAAATACACCATATTTATATATAAAATATATAAAAAATATTATATATAAAAAAGTATTTCATAATTTTTTTTAAGATAATTATATTTAATATAATAAATTTTTTATCATATTTATATATTTATATTTAAATTATATATTTTATATTTAAAAATAAATAAATTTAATAAAATAAAACAAACTCGTGCAATGCACAGACATATTTACTAGTTTAATCAATATAACTAGCTCTACTCACTAGAACCCTAAATGCACGTGGGCCTTTCTTTTCTTTACTTCAAATGGCAAAACAATCAATATATTAAAACGTTAGAACTTATTAATAACTATTTTGTCAAAAAGAAAAATAAAAAATCAAATCAAAATTAAGACAATTGCAGTTGATAGATTTGGATAATTTTTTTATCATCTCGAAATCAATCGCCATAAAAGTTTGCATGAAACATTATATGCATGAATTATGATGAGAGTTTTAATTCCAATACTAATATACCCTATTTCCCTCATAAAACTCTAAATAAACGTGCAATTTTATTTTATTTTATTTACGTTTGTTTCAAATGATGAAAAAAAACAAGTTAGCAGGTGCAATATTTTTAAGAGGTACTTTGCGTTTACAAAAACTTTTGAAAGACAGAGCTCAAATTTCTATCTTTCTTTATAATTTAAACTATAATTTGGAAAATAACAGCAAACAAATAAAACAATACATACGCTTCTAACATTTTACATCAACTTCTTATTGAGCCTACTGATATCAAATAAAAAAAAGAGCAAAATATTAGGAATTTAATAATTTCAAATACTATTATTTTGTATTGGCGAATCAATGAAACTAATAAACATAGGGAAACCGAATGCAATATATATACCCTCCGGTTTTCACGCATGGCAGCAGAAAAGAAAACGTCAGGCCAAAGTTGCACAGCACCCACCAAGTTCCAAGCTGAAGTCATTCAAACTCACTGCGGTTAAATCATCTTACATATCACAAAGCACCACTCTTGTGAGCTGGAATTGGGTCCATTTCTGTCCTTTTTCTCCTTTTTTTGTGTGTCATATTAAAGGTGCGCGGTATTTTCGCCTCATCACTTTCTTTTCTCCTTTTGCATGCATCCCAATTGGACACTTAACAGCTAACGTTAGCATATCCGTTACTAGCTTTTCATGAAACAATGCCCAAAAGAACAAACTGAAATGGCATGAAAAATGCTCAAAATGAGATGATTTTGACAATGACAGCTTTTGGGGTTTAGTGCAACTTCCTTGTCTATTTTTTTATGCGTAGTTCTGTATCTATATGAAACTTAGTGTGTTGGTAACTTGGGTATGAATTTGTAGCCTTGATCTTACAGAAAGAGAAACTGTGAAAATGATAATGACAAGGAGTATGAGTCGGAGGAAGAGGAGAGAGAGTAACGTTGATCAAGACAGGCTCAGTGACTTGCCTAGTGAAATTCTGCTACATATAATGTCATTCATGATGATCAAAGATGCTGTTCGAACTTGCATCTTATCAAAGCGGTGGAAGGATTTGTGGAAATTTCTCCCTAATTTTAAGTTGCATGTCTCTGAATTCAGCAACCCTTTTAAGTTTTTCGATTTTGTGTCAGGGATTGTGTCTCGACGTGATGGAAACCATTCCCTACACACTCTTGATTTTCATCGCCATAGTAGTTGTCGATATCAGATTCTGAAAAATCTCATGACATATGCTGTGAATCATCGTATTCAGCAACTGAGAATCTTTGTTCCATCCAATCTTTGTTTGCCACCTTGTGTCTATTCTTCTTGGTCTTTAACATCTCTTCATATTTCAGTTTCCATGTATGATTTCAAAAGAAGAACCAGAATCCCCAAGTCTCTCGATCTTCCATCCTTGTTATGTTTGCATCTTGTTTATGTTGCAATTTCGGCTGATAAAAATGGCAATGCTGAACCCTTCTCGAACTGTAAAAAGTTGCACAATCTGTACCTTGATCATTGTGTCGTGCTCTATCCTAATGCTCTTTTCTCTCATAACTCAGAAAACCTCAATATAACCAACCCCAAACTTGTCAATTTGATGATGGACTATACTTATAGATTAGGCCACAAAACTGTGATATCTGCTCCTAATCTAAGTTGTTTCACTTTAAATGGTGCTCCTTTTCAGACATTGCGTGGGCAGGAACGGGAGAATCTGAATGTTGAGATTCAATCTTCCTCATTAACATAAAATCGAGCGAACACACCTTCCATGTCTCCTCAGGTAATATTCGGAATTATTAAATCTTTTACAGAAGAGAAGAGTTGAGTATTTCCTCCAAATTGAGATTTGACATGCATCATTAGCATTATTATTTATGTTTCAAGAAACGTGATCTTTTACATTCGTAGCATTATCGTTTACGTTGCATTTCAGGAAACATGATATTTGACATTAGTCTCAATGTAGTCAGAAAATAGTAAATTCACTCTACTAGCATTTTTAATGAATTGTTTAACTGCTTCGTTTTTGGTAGGATGTTCATGAATAGCTTGTATAAAACATAACCAAATTAATTCATAGAAAATCCAAATAAAATGATTTGATTACAAAACCAATCCACTTGTCAAAATCGAATTAAGTTTGGTTGAACTAACTTTAGTTCGAATTAGCCAAACCTAGTTTTGAAACCCATTTTTTTAAAGCCAAAATCAGTTTTAAAATTGCTTTATGTTTTCACAAAACATTTATATAAGAAAATATAAAATAATAAACCACAAAGAAAAACATATTAAAATATCCTAAAAAAATCTATTTCTTTTCATATTTAATTAATGAAAAATTGCAATTACAAAATATACAATGCACATGTCCAAATAATAACTTTAACTATTGATTAAAAGTTATTGAAAATTACAAAAATATAAAAAAGAAAATATTAATTTAAAAATAAAAAAGAATGAAATACATGTGATTTTTGTAACTTTTAATAAAATTATGTTAAAAAAGTATATCGCTAACACCTGTGAATAATAATATTAGTTTTGTCAAAAACTTTTAATTGAAAACCAATTTTAAAATATCTTGGATGACAACCAAATTAATTTTGAGAAGTGAAAGTGGATTGATTTTAATATTCAACCCTTGTAGTTGGTTTTTAAATGGGTTTGCCTTTATACCAAATCTATCCATACACATCCCTCTCTGGATAATAAATCTTTTTCGTCTTTGGACCTTTCACTGATTTGATAAGTTAAGTAGAATAAAAGAATTTCCTTTCTCTACGTTCATCGTTAGTTTGCAAGATTGGTGTGAGTGGCCTTCCCTTTTTCACTCCAAATGTTTAGAAAATCATTTTTTATTGATATTCATTAGGTTTCTGACAAGGTTGAGTCTTTGCTTGTGTTTTGAATTGGTATTCTCTACATTTAATGAATCGTTAAGCTAGTCATGAGTACAATAATTAATTATAAAAATGGTAATTTGTTAATTGAAAAATATTTTACATCGATCCAGTTTTACATAGGGTCAGCTATATATGCTTTGTTATGATAAGATGATACCCTTTTATTAATGTCTTTGTTGTATGAAATTGTGTAGCTATGGAAGGTGACAAATTAAGAGTTCCATTCAAGGAAGTAAATGCCCTAAAACTAATTAATTGGATTATAAATGGAGCAATGCAGTTGATATGTAATTGAGGTCTGTTGATCATCTGTTCATACCTGTATGCATTTCTGTTTGTATTCATCAATGAAGTCATAAATTGGTAAAATAATAGTGTTGTAGGAGTAGCAGTTGATTCATTGTTGTTCCAATGAAAGGAGGGAAATTGATCAAAGGAGGATATATTTTATGTTCTTTAATCTATTTGTTCGATTATCAGTATCAAAGATGTCCTAAGTCAACACAAGCGATCAATGGAAGAGCTTAGAACGCCCTCTATCATTTACATAACATGAGAATGTAATTCATGTAACTTAAATCCAACTTATAGCTTGATTGTGACATTTTATCACCGAAAAAAGCTAAGAAATGAATTTTTTCATGAAAATCTCCCTACAAAGTCTGTTTGTTTCCCTTTTTGAAAACACTTTTCTCTTTTTAAAAATAAAAGATAATACAAATTTGGAGTATAAATATATATAAATATGCTTAATATTTTGACTACAACAATTTTTTTCTTTTAATATTTCCTTAAAATATCCTTTCGCCCAGAAAACTTTCAACAGGGTTATTAATATTATAGATAGCCCCTAATATGTACCTACGGATGACACGATCTCTTAAATGATAAAGAAATTATTTTGGAGTGTAAATATATATAAATATGCTTAATAGATTTCATATCTCAAATTATTATGACAGAAAAATTAAAAAATATTCACAAATTTCAAAATTAAATCTATATAGTGTTACTGCAGAATTAATTTTGAGAGAAACACACAAATTTTAGTCAAGGGCAACGAATATTGTAAAAATGGCTCAGCCAACGCAAATATGATTCTCAAAGTAAACCCAATGTCTATTTGATTCAAATTCCAGTTGAATTGTTTTTTAATTATTGTATATGAATGAGATGTATGTTAAAATTAATTTTAATCACAGATATTACATTAAAACATATACCATAGTCCATAGTGTATAATAACATCATGAGATGTAACCAAACGAATCCTAACCTTGCACCACCAGATATAAAATTAAGTTATCTATGGTGAATTCAAATTCCATCTAGTTAAGTAATCGCGCATTTATGCGATAACTTAAATTTCAACGACTGAAGATCGAAGAGATTAAATTTCACTCTAAAAAATGAGACTGAAGAAAAACTTAAAATCCAATCCGATCTTCATTTGATTGCTTTGATTTGTGAACATACACGAGTTGTTAACTACATCAAATCCATTTCAGTCTCAAGTCTGAACCACCTTTCTTCACAGGAACAAAACCCCAACTATTATCCTTGAGTGATGATTGGGAGTTAAACATATGACCACGGTCAAATTATCATGCTCAGATTCATCCACTGCAAAAGAAAATATTATTAAACTTACTACTAACTATACTCATAATTAAACCCTATGTTAGTCACAAACTATCTATCCACCGCAAATAGACCATCGCTTAGATTCATCTTGGATTTAGTTACAACTCTAAGCACCAATTGTCACCTTTCGATTAACTGATAACGTTGACATTCTTAATGCATTACTGTCGTATTGCTAACATTAGTCACAAACTTTTATATCTTTATGAATATATCTGTCTCTAACTTATAATTACAATTAAGTCTTAACTTTATTATAATTTTATTTATTTTCTCACGTTTTGTTTTCTTTAATTATAATATTTGTTATTCAATTATCTTGCCTATGAATAAACATTTAACTCAATCATTACAATATTATTATATCTAATAAATTTAACTTTAAAGCATTATTGTAAAAGAATTTCATTATCAATCAATTAAAATATATAATCGATAGTTTTTTGAATTAATTACCAATTATTTTCACTAATAATAGTGATAATTCATGATTAGATGACAAAATAGAAATATTTCCATTATCGATCCATTTCAATTAAAAATATTTTTTTATAATTATTTTATAAATTAATAATTTAAACACTACTTTATTATTATTATTATTCTATTACAGCACATAGCGGGAAAATAAACTAGTATTAACCTTACAATTCGAATATTCGATGATTGGAATATCAACATCTCGGATCGATAACGGGGCTCCCAGTGCCAGGGGAAAAAATAGCCTCAATGCAAGCAAGGCAAAACTTTTCAAAAATAATTATTACGATTCTACTCTGATACTGTTTTATTGATATCTAAATTACAGTTCATTTGCAAGTTAGCTCCGCTTAATGATTACGTAAATGTTCACTTAATTATCTCCAAGATCAAGATGATCGTCCACAAAACAAGTATATTAGCCAATTCAGTAAGTGATCCAAATGCAAAGCATGCTAACAACTTGATTATTTATTTTCCAATTAGTTTTATAGAACATATTGATTCTTCTTGGTGTGTCAAAATAGTTCAAATCAGTCTAACATCATTACTATCTCTGCGGTAACAATCAACATCAATCATATACGACCCATATCAATTATCGTTCTGGCTACAATCACCATATATATTCATCAGTAAAAATTTGTGTGCTACAACCAGCTACCATAATGTACTTCACAAACCAAGCCATATGGAATTAATTGTCAGCAATAAAACAAATTAGCAGATGGAATTCTCAATTGCTATCAAGGACAAAGTAATTGCTCTGGCCATCGTTACTAAGATCCTTGCCCAAAACTTTTCCTCATATCTGCAGGTTCTAAATGAAAAAGAAATAAAATAAAATACTGAACCTGAGACTTGGGATCCAGTTTCTCACATTATTTGTAACTTTCTTTAATTGTCTTTCCTTCTTTCAACTTCATCCCTTATGGAACATGGACTGGCTACGGTGGTCAATGCTGATAGCTGAAAAATGCAGCCTCTACTAATGGCCCAAATATCAAAGACCTGCATTAAGCGTTTTACAGTGCAATACTGCAATCAAAATACTTATACTCGTAATTCTTCAAGTTCTATTGGTATGCATGAAAAATATGAATTGGACTACAACACCAACAGGTAAAAGGAAAGTTTCCTACTAGTAAAAACAATTTAGAGTATATGTTACAAGGTTGACTCGTGTTAGATAATATTGGGCCAAAACATTAAGTATTGATCAGTGCCCATAACCGAATATTCATAAACAAGCCACTGTAAGCAAGAGCATAAGCGAGATATCTGGGTCATTAATGAAGGTTAAAAAAATAAAAATTATTGCCTTCCTAACATTTGCAACAGGTTAATCAATTAATTGAATGTGCAGAAGAGAAGATAATAGTCAAACATTTTGAAGCTTTGCCACTTCATTTTCTTTTGATTTTCTTTATCATCTATCCTTTTCTTATTCAGGGATGAGGGAACTGGGAAGTATAATGCAGGAGGGTTCCCACCTACAATTTGTGTCGTGAAAAGTACGACCTCAACATCAAACAGAAACACAGATAACACGGTCTAGTATCTGCAGACTAAGTATATACAGGTAATGGGGCAGAACAAAACCTTTTCTCATCTAGACTACTTCTTTGCATTGTAAGATGGAATGTATGACTCCAGAATTATTTGTGCAGCAGAGGGTGCTCTAATCTCAACAATCAAGTAAGTAAACTTCCATTCATTGTCAGCTGGGCTTTTGAACATCTCCGAGAATACTTTTCCATGACCATGGGGCCCCCGGATATAGAAATTAACCTATAACCCAAATTAACATATTTGAGTGTGAATCATATTATCAAAATAAATGACATAACTACTAAACAATAAACATCTTCCCCCATAAAAGAAATTTTAAGATTTTGAAAATCACATAGGAACGATACAACAATGCATCCAATGATGTCTTCTTACACCCTGTCTTGTTCTTTCTTTTTCATCTTTGTCTCCTCCCTCCCAACATTTTTTGAGTTATTTTTCAAATCCCAGGGACATATCAGAATAGTTCTCGTAAAATGCGTATGCATCTGCAAATAAATTTGACTAAATGCTGATAAGCCTACCTCTACATGCTCAACACCATCTTCATCAGTCCAAACCCTGTGAGGAATTCTTTGGCGAGCAGCACGATTTCTACTCTCCTGACCATAGCCTGTAATTGGAGATCCAATCCTCACTCTTACCTAGTACAAAGTAAATCCAGAGCAAGTGAACATAAAAGCAGCCAACTGATATACAATTAAATACTATTCATTACCAATAAATAATTTTCAAATCATTGTATGATTTAGAGCTTTGGTATGTGCAATTTTTTGGGTAGAATTTGGTATTTGCAAAAAGCGTTTTGCTAATCAAAGCCCTAAAGGAATTAAAAATAGAAAATTTTTATTGAGAATCATATTAAAGAATGCATTGGAAATCACAGTAAGTCTTCATTACTATTATTTTTAATATAAACTTTCCTCTTTTAATTCCTTAATTAGTGCCCTAAGACCATAGTTATCATTTGCCGTGCAATACTTACAACAGAACTAAAATAGGCATGCACTCCCTCCCTTTCATTTACATACCTAAAAAATGTAGCAAGAATCATTGTTCGCTGAAGTGTATATCGTTTAATATAAACTACTCAAGTTGAATATAGAAAATCAATAACTTCATCATATACGAGTCTTTCACCCAACTCCAACCACATATTCAATAACACTGGTACCTCACTATATACTGAAAGCATATGAAATGACTAACTCTAATAGGTAAATGTCCCCATGATTATACATTACATACTACAAGACTTCAAAACATTTGCTATTTTCACTCCGACGCAGAGCACCAAGCATCAGCTTATCAACAACACCAAAACACAAAACCTAGACATTAAAATTCCTCAAGGTTTGTCTGAAAACCATTCCATCAACCAATTTCAGTTGTCATTACTTCATAGCATCTCCCTACAAATGGTGTTCGTTTGCATGATTGAAATGCTTCATTTAGGTTTTCTTCGTATGCTCAGGAAATTGGAAACAAAGATAAAACTTCCCTCACCTGACCATCATCCTGAATTCTTTGAAGAGCCTTGCTGTAGATCTTGTACCTGTTACAAGTTCATAACAGTCAAACTGACATACAAGAAATTAAAAATAAATATAAATAAAGACAAATTTTAGATTGAGTAATGCTACATAATGGTAGAAGAAAAAAGTGTTTACTCCTTGGGTTGAAATATAAGCTCCTTGAAAACAGCATATCCAGCGGCGGCAGCGATTCCAAGGCCAGCAAGAATGACAACACTGTAAGATGCGCCTTCAACAAACGTCACTGGCTTCTCCGGAATGTTATAAGTGGGAGCACTAAAGGGATCCTCAACATTAGCAATGTCCTTTTTACTCTACAAAAGAACCAAAAATAGGTTGAAACGAAAGCGATACAATGCAAAACAGTGTTGCTTAATTGAAATGAGTACCTTATCGGTGTTTTCCCTTTTGGAAGAAACGAGTCTTGCGAAGGAGGGGAGAGGGAGATTAGGGGTTTGGGGTCGGAAAGGTGCATTGTATTTGTGGGTGAAGGCTGAGGCTGTACGGTGGGAGAAGATTCTGCGAAACATTGCGGCCACGGAAAGGGATCGATGGAGACTTTCTTCGACTCGATTTCAGTGAGTCCACAGTGTAGAAGGAAGGAAGATGGATTTGATTTGAATAGTAACTGAAACAGAAACAGGGTTCCGTGTTCATAAATTGAAACCACCTCACTTCAAAACGGCGCCGCCTCCTCCTATTTTATCCCCAAAACGTAACGCAGTTTACCTTTTTATTATATTAAAAAAACTGTTTTTTTTTTGGGTTATTTAAATGCGTATAAATAGTATTATATATATATATATATATATATATATATTAATTTACTGTATTGAAGAGATAATTTTTTATTATTAAAAAAACACCATTTTATTTAACAAAATGTGAAAATTTAATGAGTTAATGAATTTTATTTTAAAAAGATGAATTACGCTTCACATAAAAAAATAGATTATACTCTTAAAGAATATATTTTATATCATATTTAAAAGGACTTGTTCGAATAATTTTGACATTCTGATTTTGTACCATATGAATTATGTCTTTATCACATACCAATTAGCAACATAGTTTTGAATTATATCATTAATATTTATTAGGTTTTCAAGGTATTTATCATGTTTATTATTTTAAATCCTGTTATATTAATATAAATTTTGTCTTGACAGAGGAAAGAGATTCTAACAATAATAAATTTAAATATATGCTAATATATCATAAATTATAATAAAATCAATATTAAATTTTAATTAAATTTGAAAATAAAAATTCTTTTTCTACAACATATGTAACATATTTTTTTTAATAGCTTCATCTTTATTTACTTATTTTTAAATCATAGGTAACTTTGAGATAGTTTACATTAATTTTTTGAGTATTTAACAAGTATTTAAGATTTAAATTTAAAATTACATATTAAATTAAAATAATTTTTACTAATATATTCACATGTTCAGTGACATATTTATCTTTAATTTAAATTTATTTAACTTATTCATTTTAAATTTTTGAAAACTTTTAATTTATTTCCTTATAATAGATCCACTTGTTCATTAATCACTTCTTGTTATTAAATTCATATCATAAAAACAAAAAGCATTTAAAATTAATTTGTAATAAAATTTTATTTATTTTATTTTAAAATTTATTTTAAAATATGGTATGATACATTTATTTTAAGATAATCCATACTTATAATTTTGTAAGTTAAAATATATATTTAGTTTTTATAATTAATTATTATTTTTAAATTATTTATTATTGTTTAAAATTATGTTTTAGTTATTTTACATAATTTTTATTACATTTTAATCTTTATAATTATAATATTTAAAAATAGAATTGTTCAATAATAGTAATTTTTAGTGTTACTGTTATAGTAGTGAAACTAATGCATAACAAAATATTCAGATAACAATGTTTATATATATATATATATATATATATATATATATATATATTTATTTATTTATTTATTTATTTATTTATAAACGAGTGATAATAATATACAAGTAGATTATATTTTTGTAAAATTGTTTCTTTTCATAATTATTTGAAGTTTTTGAGGAGTTTTTTCTTATTATTATTACTATATGTCATGTATCTTTCATGTATTGAATATTTTTTTATTAATTTGTATTGTTTTTAATATCATTTATTTAGTTTAATTTTAACTTTAATTCCAATTAAAACTTAAATATTATACACTGTATCAAATTTAAAATATTTTTTATAAACTGAATTCTCAGATTATTGTAATATCAATCAATCATAATCTAAAATTGATTCTTAATTTTAACTTTCTATATTTTAAATTTTAAAATATTTATCTTTCTAATTTAGTTTTATTTAATGTAATATTTGTTATTAATAATACTAAATAACTTTAATGTTCACTAACATGTTTACAATTATGATTAAAATAGTTACAGTGTTTTTAAATTAATTAATTAAAAAATTAAACAAAATAGAAATTGATATCACACACTCCCACGCATTCAGCCTCCGATACAACATCTCTGATACCACTTATCATGAATACTTATCAAGCAAAACGACATCATAGAACTATATTTTCACTGGTCAACACCTTGCTATGACAAAAGCTTTGCCTGTGGTGATGCTACAAATATATTTTGGATTAAGGGTTTGGCATATCATATAATGCTATAAGGTGTTTAGGAATATGATGAAGAATGGTTCTTACACTTAGAAAGATTTCAAATATTATATGTATAATCATGGAGACTAATCAAAATTTGATGACGGTTGGTATGCTTTGCTTTATGAATATAATAAAGTTGATGGAAACATTGGGTTGGAGAGTATCTTGAAGGTGAAAGAAAATGAGCTTATTGTTCTACGAAGAAAGTTTATATAATTGTAATGCGAAACACTCAACCTAGTTATATGGTTTGAGCTCTTTCCCATAAACTAACACGTGACAATTAATCCTCAAACACATTTTTTATATTTACCCATTTTTATCATCTAATTATAACTGGTCTCAACTTTTTTAGCACTCGTCTTCTAATCATATTGTAAAATGTAAAAAGTATCTTCGATGTAAAGAAAAAAACCTCAAACAAATAAAAGTTTCTTGACAACATACCTCTAACTTTTTTTCTTTCAAGTTTCAATAAACACCAAGTAAAAAAATCTCTTATAATCTATGTACTTCTATATATAAATCACAAGTCCCTGTTATAGAATAAAAATACTTTTGATAGTTATTCTTAACAAGAGTATTTTAGAAGTTAGTTCACTTTTTAGAATCAAAAATTTGGGTTAGCCTAATGCTTTGGCTATTTCTTTTTTAAAACAAGTATTAGAGTAAGTTTAAAAAATAGCCTAACAAGTGTAAATCAAATAAGTGATTTAACTCTACTTATAAATTATAAGTTCTCATTATTGAATGAGAGTGTCTTTATAAACTGTTTTAAACAATAGCATTTTTATGAGTTAATTTTCTTTTTCATAGTGTCATGTAACTTTTCTTGTATTAAGTATTTATTTTACTTTAAGACAATTTTAGTTTAATTTTTTATTAGCAAAATTTTTATTTATTTTTATTATAAAAATATATATTTTTAGTTTAATCCTATTTAATATAAAAGGGTACTTATTAATAATAATTTAAATACTCTCTTTTTAATTTATAAATTTATTAAATTAATAAATAAATAAATAATATGTCTTTATTTTTATCAAAAAATTATTTTAATTTAATAATATCTGTGTAATGTACTTAAAAACTCATTAATAATTCATTTTTAAAAAAAGCTCATTAATACAAATATTATTTTATATTATCATTTAAATTATTTGATGCTACATCACTATATTCAATAAGAAACTTAGAATAATAATATTCTTATAATAAATTTTTACAATAATATTTTATCTTTATATTTTTTTCATCGTATTGCTCATTTTCTCACCTTCTTTTTACTTCCCTTTCTATCTTTTTTCTAATTTATAAAAGAAATTATACAAATTTATCATATAATTTTTCAAAAATTTATAATATAAAAATTAATTTATATGGTTTTTAATGCGTATTTAATGACTCGCAATAATAAGTTATACATAATAAAGTTGTGTTAAAAATTACATAATATTATATTATATAATTAAATGTATTAATAGCATTAAATGTTATAATTTTTAATAAATAATTATTATTTATTTAATTTTTATTATACACTTTTAAATGCATATAAATAAATTATATTGTTTCCCTGGGTTCACCGAACTAATTAATAAGGATATCGAATTTAAATTTTGTGAACCCTCGTACTTGTGATGGCACTTTGTAATGTATCTCCAAATGAAATTGTGAATTTTCTAAGAAAGGGGTAAATTTTTTAATCTCCTGGAGTTTTAACCAAACAAAAGTAGATATTATTATTTTTAAAAAGAAATGTATACTCTTTGAAAATCGAAAAATAAAAACAGGTGATGGTCACGTGACCGACCATGTGGAAGAGATGAGAGCTAATGTTATCTTTTAAAGAACAGAATTAAGAAAATGAAAAAAAAACAAACAACGAAACAAAAGGCTTCTAAATAGATGAAATCCTAAAAAAAAACTGACACTGTCTCACACGCGGCGAAGCGAACTCTCACTCCCTCGCCACCAACCACTTCTCTTCTCTCACTCTCTTCTTCTTCTTTTCCCTTTTTTTGTCAACTTTTTATTTCTCTCTCTACCCCAAAACAACCCAACCCGTTTCTTTTATACCCGCGACAACATAAAGAACTCGTTGACTCACCCTATCACAAAACCACCCACCTTTTTTTATATAAATTCCTTCAGCTATCAAAGCTCCTTCCTATCATAATTGAAACATTTAAAGAGAAGAGAGAGACAATTATTTATGATTTGTTTCTTTGACAACTGTGTGAGTCGTCTCTTTATCTCTCTTTTCTTCATTCTTTTTCTTTTTCTTTTTTTGCATTTATGGTCAATATCTTTCTCTTGCTTTGCTTCAACTACGTGAAAATTGTAATGTTGAGAATGTAAAACATTGCTGTTTTTTTTTTTTTATTCCTAAAAGAATGTTTATACGATTGGCCTTTTCTGAGAAACCAGTGCTGAGTGTTGAGATGGAAAGTTCATCGATTCACAATTGAGGGATCCTTATGTCACACATTGCTTTGCTGTTCGATCACTGCAACGACTCCACTGAGATGTCTGAATATTTTCCGTCGCTTTCTCGGGAAACTATGTCCTCCGCGTCGTCGATGAGTTTCGGAACGACCTTCTCCAATCTGGACACCTTTCTTCTACGTGTAACCCCAGATGTTCCTTCGCACACCCTTCATATCCAGGTAATCAATTTTATTGTTTCATTGCTTCTTTTTTTTCAACAGTGAAAACATGAAGATATAAATTCTTATTCAAATTAAGAAGTGATTTTGATTCTCTGCTCTGTTCTCTCTCCGTATCAAGATAGGTTATTGATTTTAAAAATAGCAATCAATGATGGGGTCAAATCTACCCGATTTGACCTTGGTTTTTTCAGGAATTTTTAACAATATTTAATATTTATTTTTCGGCTCACGTAAGGTTACGTTATCCGCACCGCAATCTAAAACAAATTTTGTTTTTATTTTCTGTATCAATTGTCAATTTTAAAATCAATGATCTGAAAAATGTGTTTTGTTGACTCGCCCTTTCTAAATTAACACCTTATTAACGACGGTTACAACGATTTTGTAAACATTATTTTTAAAGTTAATTTTAAATATGATAAGGTTGCATGATAAACTATTTATTATATATGAAATATAATAAACGTTTTTTAATAATTTTTTTATTTTCAATTATTTAAAATTAATATAAAGTAACTGTTAATATTTTCAAATACACATGTTAATAATGTTTAATAATTTAAAATATAATTTATAATTTTTAAAAAAGATGAATCAAAACCTAGCAAACCTTTGTACGTGGTCGATTTTATCTACAGGATTTCGTTGAACCGAACTATTTTATTTGGTGAAAATTGAGGCTCTTTTTTTCATGATTTTTTTATTTTGAAATTATAAAAATATGAAAAAAAATATTATTTTAAAAATTACGACGACTTTTAAATTTTTTCTAAAAATCGTATGTAACAAACTAATCCGAATCCGAAGATTGGTTAGTAGAAAAAGGAAAAAGGTCTGTTTATGGAATTGGTACGTGAATTAGGAGCAAAGCTTAGTGGAGGAGTGGAGAGTTAATGTAAGATGTTGCGTGCCACGAGAATCTCGTGTGTGGCTTACCTTAATTCCATGTGTTATAGTGACTAGGTATCCTGCTTGAGGTATTTTTCCACTTTCCACTTCGTGTACTATTTTGGTTTTGTTCCATTATTTTTTATTCTTTGCAACCATGTTAAAATTGTATAAAAAATTATAATAAACTATTATAAAAATTTTAAAATAGAAAAATTAAAGTTAGATAACAATTTGAAGTCCCTTCTACAAATTCTTAAATTATTAAAAAATAAAAACACTTATCTAACTAAATAAGAATAGTTTGTTAATTTAGAAAAAAGTAATTTTTAATTACAAATTCCAGTTAAAGAATTCAACATAGAAAGTTTTGATTAAAAAATATTAATGAACTCCTATAATTTTGAATATATTTCTAACATTATTTTTTTTATTAAACATGTTTATTTATTGATTTTTTAATTAATGTCTCTCGAGACATTGAGATTGATAATTATTTTTCTATATGACTTTTGCTTGTTTGTCTCTAGCAAATGTTAGAAGTGGCTATTGATTGGTTAATTTGTTTTCTTAACTCTCCTTGCTTTTATCACTTATTTTGCAGAAGTGCTGTAGTGATCTAAATAGACAATGGCTCCCTCCTGGCAATGACACAATTGAATACTTCAATCTGAACGATCTATGGAACTGCTACTGTGAATGGAGTGCATATGGTGCTGGTACACCTGTGACGTTGGAAAGTGGTGACACTGTAATGCAATACCATGTTCCATATCTGTCTGCCATCCAAATCTACAGCAGTAAATCTGTTGCAACTTCTAGGTATGCAGAAAACAATGCTGTGTGATGATATATGATATACTAAATGTGTCAACATGGTGTGATCCATCTTCTTCTTTTGTAGGATTCGGAGAGAGGATAGTGAAGGAGCTGAACTTGAATCTGATTCCTTGAGTGAGGAAAGTGGAAGTTACCTATCTAGATCATTAAGTAATAATTCTAGCAAAGCATGGGATGCCGTTTCTTTGGATTCAAGCTGTGACATAGTTGGTTCATGGCCAACAAGGGATATGCTTGGCTACCTTTACTTACAGTACAATGAGACTTCTCCACCATTCCGGAGGGTTCCATTTGTTGAGAAGGTTGCCTCTAACTTCTAAGCAGTATTCTTAACTTTTCAGCGGTACTACATATGAATACATTTTTATGTTCTCTCATTCTGCTTATGTTTTGTGTTTCAGATCTTTGAGTTAGCTAAAAGTCATCCAGCATTGATGACATTGAAGAGTGTAGATATTTCCCCTGCAAGTTGGATGGCTGTTTCTTGGTGAGAAGAATGAGTTGTTCTTGTTATCCTGAAAATTTGTTGTACATGGAGATGAACATTTCAATTTGGAAGTGGGCGCTCCTGTTGATAAATTGGCCTTGTTTTTTGCCTGTATTTCATGATAAATGGTCTGAAGGAAAGCTTTAAATTTCCAATTAGCTTTATAAGAACCACTATCTGGAATATTTTGGCTGCAATTTTGGTGTTTTTGAAACATTTGATAATGTGGTTTTCTATGAATTGTCAGAAATGATGTCTTTTAAAAAACAGCATTTAATCAATTTTGCAACTTTTGTTTTCCCTTTTTCTCATAATTATGTATATAAAAAAACAAGTTTTTGGTCAATTTTTTTCCACACTGTGAAGTTTATATTTACTTCCAGTTAGATCTCTAGTTTCTGTTTGATTTTATGAGAGAAAGATCTTATATTGACTCGTTGTCATTGGATAGGTACCCGATTTATCCCATACCAAGTCAGAAAGGTGAAAAGAACCTGGCAGCAAGCTTCCTCACTTACCATACATTGTCATCTTCTTTCCAAGGTATATTGATGTAGTGATTGGTCCATTTCCAGTCAATGATGAGTATGTTTTTAAAAAATCAGGAAAACGTGTGCTGATTCTAACATCCTCCTTATCTTTTCTGGAAGTCTTTAGAGCTGATATGGCTTCTCCACCGTTATATTGATATGGTTGAAGATATGAAAACTCCAAGTCTCATAAAACTCAGTGGTTCCTTTCCAACCACTATTCCACCCCGTGTCCACCATTTCCACAAGGGGTTGATTAAAGGATCATCACACCCCTTCATCAGAATGACAAACAAAATTCCATCCACCACCGTTTTCTCACTCTCTGTATCACTGATCTCCACCCCAACGAGTTCCTTCCCCTAGAAATAAGGGTTCACCATGACACGGAACCTTGAAATCCTTTGTAGGACTAGAGTTAAGAGCATGTAACCTTAAAGGCATGTAGTGTCCATGTTAACACTTGAATGAGAATGACTCTGCGAAGATTGTCATCGTACTCTGAAAGTCTGGAAATGCATGTTCTTAGCCTTAGCAAGAGTTTTGGTAACTTGTGTAGATCATCTATTATTAACCATCCGATTAAAAAAATTCAATCAACGATCATGAAATTTGGAGAAGTGATCATTCAACTTTTCGAGAAGCCATCTTTCAAAGACTTCTAAACAAAATAGGGTGGGTTTCTTTAAGCATGGAGTATTACAATATAAATCCAATTGCCAAATAGAGTTTTTATGAGTAAATTGTAAATTTAGTTTCTATTATTTCTAAAATCCATTAAAATAGTCCTTAAACTAGATAAAATATTATTTTAATTTCTAATGTATGCAATTGTTAATCATCTTAATCTTTATAATTTAAATAAGAACTAATTTTTAGCACATGCATGCAATTATTATTCATTCTATGTAAAGATAATATGTAGCATTTAATGATGATGTAAGAAATATTTAATCAATGAATTTAGTCTTCATATAATTTTAAGTCTACAAATTGTTTAGAAACTAAAATAATAAATTTTGAAAAAAAATAAATTTTAAAGCATGTCACTCTATTATGTTATCATTAAATGTTATATGACATAATTAAATAATACTTAACGTGTTAAGTTAGCTTGTCTGTTTAAATAACTAATATTTAAGTAATGATTAATAATTACATGCGGTTAAAGACTAAAATAACATTTTGTTTAGATTATGAATTATTTTGATGAATTTTTTGAATTATAAGAACTAAAATTGACGATTGCATGCATTGAAGACTATTTTGATGAATTATAGAAATAATAGAGACCAAATTGATAATTTACTTTCTTTTCACTTACTTAGAAATTGATTTTCAACAGAAAGGTAAAAATGGGCCCTTCAGTACATAGTTGTAGCATTTATTTATTTATTCCGAATTTGTATTTTGATGTAGTTCAATGAAAATGGGACGAAAGTGTTTTACCAGGAGCGGCGAAGTCCTCTTACTATGACATAGATGTATAGTTTGCTAATCAATATGCAATACATGCTAAAATTAAGGTTGTTGATATTTATATTTGAGCCCAGAGCAGACAATAGATTGTGTTGTTTGCTTGTTTTAATATTCTGCATCAAGGAAATTACTTAGTTATAATCAGATTTGATGGGATAGTGTAGAAACTTATTTTGCTTAGATAATTGTTTAAGCCATGATAAATTTACACACTTTCAGTACATACAAGCAATATCCTTTACATTGTAATACAGTGTTCTGCCGAAAAAACATTTTGATTCACCATCTGTTCCTTGTGTAATTTTGTCAACCACCAATATGTCAACTTTCTGGTTCTACTGAGACACTCAAAGAACAATAAATAAATAATTTGGTCAAACTAGATTTTTTTTCCTATGGTTCACAATTCTTGGCTTGGGGCACATCATTTGTTGTGATTGAGAAGTTGGCCCTGATCTCATTCCTGCTGATTTTAGTTGTATTTTGTTAAAGCTGGTTCATAGTTTAAAAGTTCACAACTTCTATTTGTTTTTGCAGATTGTACAAACAATTATGATGACACTGAGATAGGGGAAAATCTATGTTGTTTAGATGGCATGAGAAGCATTATAGCCGAGAAATGTAATTCGAAAAACAGCGGTTGTATATCTCTCTCACCATTTGGGCTAGCTACTTACAAAATGCGGAGAGATATTTGGTTAAATCCTTCTGATAATGGAAAGGTGTTGGATCTGTATAGTGCTGCAGACTCGTGGTTGAAGCAGCTCAACACTTACCACCATGACTTCAAATTCTTCTCACTCAGATACAACTTGTAAATTTTGGTTGGTGTTCATTCCTAACTGACCACCCCTTTGCTTAGGTTGGTACTTTGACTTCGGCATCAGAAGCTTCCCTAGGTTCAAGTCCGCAAAACACTGAGAAAATGAGGTTATATGTCAAAAGGATGATGTATAATCCTTGAGCAATGTTAAGTTTGGTTTATTAGGGGTCTTGTGAAGTGAGATATTTTCTCCCCAATCTTTTTTTAGCTAAGCTACTTTCCTAGAAATTTGACAGCAGAGGTAACTAGATTATTCTCTCTTTTGGTATAGTTGTTTTTTTTTTTTTCTTCTTTAAGTACTTGCATTTTATTGACTTTTGTATATCCTTATTTATTTTAATCTGGATTCAAGGTAGATGCAATTATTATTATCTTGATCAAAGAAATTCTTTATCTGATTAAGTTCTTAGCTTTCACTTTTTGGAGGGGTAGCCTCCAATATTGCAACATATCATTTTATGAGGCAAAATTGCTCAATCAAATGAGATTCTGAATGCTGCAAGGCCACCAATCCAAAGACGATAAATTTGCTAGAATCGGGCCAGTAGGGATCAAGAAAAATTACTGTTTACTTTGCAGCATTGTTCTAGTGACACTTGGGAATCAACTTCCGTGAATTGTGGAGATAAATGAGCAAAAGCTTGACATAAAAACGGCCTTGGCATACTATGTTGGTAAAGCGCATGGACATGAGCGTGGTTAGGTGACCCATTAACAGTAAGCTAAGACAGTGAGGAGGACCACATAGATAAGGCAATTGTTTTAAAAAAAGTTATTTTTTAATTTAAAAAATATGATAACACCCTCTTTTATAATATATATATATATATATATATATATATATATATATTTATTAAATTATATAATTTAATAATTATATAGTATTTTCAAAAAATTATATACATTTAAAATTAATTATATAATTTAAATTAATTTTTAACGTATGCTTAAAGATAAATGTTAAAAAAAATAATAAAATTTTCTTAAGAATTATAATATTTAATTTTTCTTAAAAATTACTAAATATTAGATTTTACGGTCTCTTATAATATTTAATTAAAATATTTATTGTATATTTTTTATTACATGTTGAAAGAAAACATTATAATTTAAATTATTATTTTTATTTTCATATAAAAATATGATTCTCACTTAACAGGATAAACAAAATCCATGAAATCATTTAGATTTGATGATAGTTGAATAATAGCTTCTGACGGTGTCTCCATCACATCAACGCGCTTCCTTTCCGTGCACTCTTAAACACTAACTCGTACGCGTTGATGCGAACCTTCCCATTTTCAAACACACGTCTGAAATGGTTACGGCTATGGGTTCGATTCTACTGGGTTTCGGTCTCGGAGTGGTGGCCATTGTTGCTGCAGAAGCTCTGGGACTGTTATGGATCATGAAACGGTTGCGGCACAAGATCAAGCATGACGAAGCCACCCTCTCTTCCCAAACCCATTTCGCTATTACACAGTCACTGCTTGATCCCCAACAGTCTCTTGACTTTGCGTTTAAAAAGCAGGTTAGCACTAATGGATTTTGTGTGGCTTCAGAATTTGAAACGCCCAAACTCAACATAATGTGGTTGGATATAGTCATGCTCATGGTAGAGATTATTGTGTTTTTAAAATAATTTATTTATAATGGAAATTATTAGTCAATGAGCTTTCTAGAAATGTAATTTTGGGCTGCTGAAAGAACTTTATGGTATGGTTCGTATATTTGATTAGTTAGAGCGATCATACTGAAAGAATGGTTGAAAACTTTGAAAAACAATGTCTTGTATGAAGTGTGGCAAAAAACCAATGGTTCTGTTATGTTTAAATCAGAAGGTTACACTTTTAAAAGGTTTCTTTGGATAAAGGTTGGTTTCCCAAAAACTAACTACTATTTGATTAGGTCTGATTAATTTATTTTTTTACCTTAAATTTTGGGATTCTTCATTTGCTTTGATTTTCAGGGTGTGGTTTGGGTTCTAGAATCAGGAAAAATTCCAGAACCATCAAGAGAACAAAAAAGAAAAAAGGAGCTCTTGGAGGTTTCCCCTGTTAAAATGTATGGACAAATGAAGGGTCAATCGCTAATTCTGAGAGGCTCTGATGGTTTGAGCACAACTATTGAACTCAAGGGCTGCACAGTTCAAGCTGTGTCAGCATCAATCCTTTCTTCAAGAAAATGGTAATGTGATTTATTAGGTGAATTTCATGTGCATTCTTCTTCCTCCTTTTTGTTTTATTTATTTTTTCCTCTCGCCACTTCCCTCATGTTTTCTACTTCTATTACTACTGCTTTTTGTCCTAGTGGCGCATGCATATATGTATGACCCTTTCTAGTGGGAATGTGAGTAAAAGAAGTGGCAAAATTCTCTAACAGGTGGCTAGAATTACCATAGAGGATATTTTGTTCTCAGCTCCTTCTACTACTGCCTTGCCATTGTAGAATTTATTTGAATATGAAACTGTTATTCATGTGAAATCACTGCTGCTGTTATCCTTGAGCAGTATTACAATTTGCAGAAATCCCAATCCTAAATTGGTTATGTTAGAGTCACTGTTCCTCTTATTTATGACTTGCAGCTTAGAGAATGTAAAAAAATGGGTTCATTTGTTAGAGCTTCCCTGATATTAAATTTTACAAGGAGAAATCCCGTTTCCTTTGTGCCTTGCATACTCTTGAATAAGGTAACTTGTGATATGTTGGATTTTGGGTATTATAAGTAAAATAATATTGGAAAGATAAAATTTAATTTTGACTATGGGTCATTTATTGAGGAAGATATGCTTCAAGTTCTTATTTGATTGGTGTTGGGGATGAATCTTATAGGGCAAAAAAGTTTCCCATCAAAGTGGAAAGCAAGACCTCTGTCATATACAATGGAAGCAAAATTATTTACATATATCTTGAAACTTCATGGGAGAAGGAAGCATGGTGTAAGGCTCTCTATCTGACTTCATGTGATAAAAAAGAAAAAGTTAAACAGGCTACCCAGTTGCATGAAGAGTTTCATAGTTATCTGACATCCTTAAATTCTTTATACCATTCTTTTATGAAACCATCGGTGGGATCAAATATTGAGGCCATAGAAAGAGCTAGTAGACCTGATGGTTCGTCCTCGAAGGTTCGTCAATTTTTGAAAAAGTTTGCTAAAAGAACTTCCCGAGTTGGTTTGGAAAATATATCAACTTGGACCTCACTGTCAGGCCATGAGATGAAGAAGAACACCGAGAAGCTTCGTGCTTGCCAAGATGCAATTTTGGCCACTAGATTGTTGAAGACTACTTCAACATCAAAAGTTCTTAAAAATTGCTCAGTAGATGATGTTCCACCATTACCTTCAAAGTCATGTCATTCAGGAAGTCAGAGTCTTAACTCTGTCAGCTCTGATGCAGAAGCTGATGAAAAGTTTGGTATTGATGAAGGAACGTTATGTTGGAATTTGATGATTTCCCGGCTCTTTTTTGATGCTAAAGGCAATGAGCAGTTAAAGAGATCCATGCAAGCAAGGATTCAGGTTCAAGCTTTTCGCATTTGATGTTTACTCGTTTGCTTTGAGTGTTAGTTTTATTGTGTGTGTGTGTTTTTTTTTTTGTTTTTTGTGAAGAAGCTTATCATTTTGTCGAGGTATCAAATTCCTGCCACCTATCTATATTATTTATTTAAAACGATAATATTTGCTTATTCATGTTGGAAACACGATAACAGCTGTTATATCTTTCTTTAACCTCTTTCATTGCTTGTAATTCCTAAAACCCAAGTTTAGTAGTACAAGCTGGAATCTGTTAAGCTTAAAAACATTAAGAATATAGAAGCTGCTATCCTTCCAAGTCACTCTAAAGATTAATTTTGTAACCTTAACTGATTTGGTAAATTTAATATCTGACTATATCTAGCAGTTCAAAAGGAAGTTAACCCATTATCAGAGTTTTTTGAAAGTTATAGAAGAAAGAATTAGTTGATTGCAACATTTGTTTGAATTGGAGGGGTGATTATTCTTTTGAACATGATTTTCCCCCTGCCCTTTACTTGTGAACCCAACTTCACTTCATTATGGTTTTTATGAAATAAATATTGATTACATCATTTTGTTTACAAGAACTTCCCACAGAAAACTTCATTTCATTATGATTTCTATGAGATAAATGTTTTTTTTTTCCTTTTTGGCAGAAAACATTGTCCAATATGAGAACTCCCAGTTATATTGGTGAAGTTATCTGTACCAACATCAATATTGGGAATGTTCCACCTTGTATTGCAGGAATGAGGGTTCTTCCTATGGAAATGAGTGAGGTATGGGCCTTAGAAGTTGACATTGAATATTCTGGAGGTGCTGTATTAGAGATTGAAACCAGGCTTGAGGTTCGTGAACTAGAGCTCCAGGCAGGGACACAGGACTCAAATCCACAGCCAAACAATGCTGGAGCTGTCCCATCAGATCTTCTTGAAGGTTTTGAATATATTGGAAAGCAATTAAATTTTGCAGAAAGAACAAATGATTTACTAGAGCAAAAAGAATATGGTGATGGGAACTCAGGTTAGTAAATTAATCCTATCAAACCCAATTATTTATGCACTTTCTCTGAGAGTCCTATCAATTCCAAGTATTTGTGAACTCTGTCTTTGCCTTTTGAGTCCTATCAAACCCAATCATTTTATGCCCTTTTTCATTCTTCCTGAAATCCCACTTGAACTTAATTGATTGCCTTAGAGGATTTCCAATGTGCTTGCCACCTAGGGTCAAACCACTTTCTAAGTTTACAGGTAGATGGAGATTATGGGCAGGGGCTTCCAAATCCTGTAATTTACTATCTTTGATTCTTTTTATGAGTTCACAAGTTTTTCCAATTACAACAACGGCAAAGAAATTGTGTAATTTTCACATTTGTGCTCCCCCTCCCTTCTCTTATTTTCCCAAAGAATACCTTAATGGTTTTTCTACCTCTGCTTGTCTCCTTAAAGAGTAAATTCCAACATGTGGAGGAGGAAGTATTGTCATACCTAGATAGTATTATATAAAGCATTTAGATTGTTATTGTGATGTTTATCTTATTTTTCTCTAAGCAGATGTGTTTAAGAGCACTGTGTCTTCTTTAAATAATGGATCAAGATGGAAATCTATATTAAATTCTGTTGCCAAACAGGTTTCACAGGTACCATCTGTTTACTATTCCCTCCTTTATTCCATTGGTTGTTTCTTCCCACATTCTACTTCACATTTTGCAGTATGTTTTTACACTATTGGAGTTTGGCTATTTTAATATTGTCATTTGGTTGTATTAAATGGGTGTATCCCTCTCTTTTCCTTTTTTTTCTGGGTTAAATAGCAGGTAGGTATGACTTGCACACATCATTATAGTTCAACTAAGTTCTAATTTTTTGCCATCACATATTTTGGTGCATGATATTGTTGTATGGTTCTAATCTGTTTGTGGACCTTTGAGTATATTACACCAACCTACCTGTGGCCTCTCCATCTCCAGTGTTAGAAATTATACTCAATTTTTCTATTATAACTTCTTGTCAGACCAATATCTCCACTTTGTTATCCAGACACTTATACCCTGGATAAAATATTTTCATTACCCCGTTGGAAAATCAACCTCAAGGATAAATGAATATTCTACTGTAAAGTAGGAATGTGATTAAGAGTTTGAGAGGCTTTGTTAGAACTGAAACCATTATACATTTCCGCTATATATATATATATATATATATGTTTTGACTCTGATTCTGTATGTTATCTTTATTTTCCCTCTTTTTGGTTCTGCATGTGTGGTGCCTAACCTCTTTTTGGATTTGACAGTTTTCAAAGCCACTCAGGATATTCCAAATGTTGTCTTTGAGTATTTTTTTTATCGATTCATACACAGGAGCCCGTTCAAATATTTGATAATGTGCAGATGTTTTGTTTTTCTTTGTTTCTACCTTCTAAGTAGTCATCAGTTCATAAACAGCTAAAGTTGTTTTATTCTCTCAAGTAACGGATCATTTTTTATCAAAAGGTTCCTCTCTCTTTGGCAATAAAAGTAGCTTCCCTCAGAGGGACATTGCGCTTGCATATAAAGCCACCTCCCTCTGATCAATTGTGGTATGGTTTCACATCAATGCCAGACATTGATTTCAACTTGGAGTCGTCTGTTGGGGAACATAAGATAACTAGTGGACACTTTGCTTTATTCCTGCTCAATAGGCTAAAGGTACGATAGCTCTCTTTCCATTTGATTTATAATTTATGAATGAAATTGAGCTATAGACTAGTCTTTCCCGGCTGTTCATTACTTCAAGTTTGAAATATTTTGTTCATTTACATGTGTTTTTTTAACTATTTAGGAACATTTTACATCATCATCAATATCAATAATTATATACAAAGATCTTTAATTTTTTTCTCCCTCCATTTGCCAATTTATATTGACTTCTTTTTGAGTGCCTATAAACTCTCATTATAAATGTCCTACCTTTCTCTCAAGTGAGTAGCCACAGAATTCTGGCTTGGTTAATATCTTTTACTTTTTTTATCTGTTTAAACTCTTCTTTTTAGAATAAATAAGAGTGGCTTTCACTTGCAAACTGAATTTAATTTTGCTCCTGCAGACAGCAATTCGGGAAACTTTAGTGCTCCCAAATTGTGAAAGTGTATGCATCCCATGGATGTTAGCAGAAAAGGATGATTGGGTTCCTCGGAATGTTGCTCCATTTATATGGATTAAGCAAGAATTTGGAAATGGGACTTCCACTTCAATTGATTCCAATAATCAACCTTCTGTTGGAGTGAAAGCTAGGTTGGAAGCTACTGCAAGCAGCTCAAGCAATGATCCGGAGCACAAAAAACAAAATCCAGAGAGTACCGAATCTAGTCCAGAAAGCAAATCTTCAGATTCTCTAGCACTTCCATTAAGTTCTAATTCAGTAACACTAGAAAGCAGCAGGAGTCTGGAAGAGCTGACAACACCTTTGTTAGTGAATGACAAACCTCAGGAAACTAAAGATTTGAAAGAATTTAGGACACCATTGTTACAGAATGACAAGCAACTTGAAACTAATGAACAAAATATGGAGAATAATTCGGAGTTCCAAGCACAGCACAAAAGTGTGCTGGAGAAACCAAATCATTCTATTGAACAGGAAGATGGACTGCCAAAGAAAATGGGTAGAAGGGAAAGGATGCTTGATTTGGGCAAGAAGATGAGCGAGAAATTGGAAGAGAAAAGGCGCCACATTGAAGAAAAGAGCAGACACATTGTCGAGAAGATGCGGGGACCGTAAGAAATAGAAACCAAGTAAATTACAAAATGTTTATGATCTGTTGAACTTCTGAAAGACAAACTATCCATACAACAGCAGAATGTGGGGTATCAGATATTGTTCACTAAATGCGGTTTGTACTTTCTGAATGCTTAGATGATCAAAATTAGAATGCAGCTAGATTACACTCATGATCCTAGCGCAATAAAAATTGTTAATTAATGTAGTGTTGTAAATTTGCCGTAGCCACAGGGACATCAGAAAATTTGTTTAATATCAGTACTATTGATTCATGCCCAGTCTTATATTTGAGATATTTTTTTTATTATTTTGCATACCGTTTCTATTAATGCCTTTGTTATTGAACAACTGCGTCGTCCGACTTGAATTATCAAACGAATCGTAGAGTTAGGTTTGAAGTTTAAACCATTAACCATGAAATGAATATTCCTCTTCTACTTCATCTTTACTCTTAACTGTTAGGAGGGTTCTTCATAGTTCGGTCGAAACCGAGTTTAAGTGGGTAGTACTCAAACAAAACTATCTATAACCATATATACAATTGCAAGTTTGGTAGCTGTGAAAGTTATAGAAATAATGTCAACTCTGTAAGAAACCACAAAAGCACTATGGCTTAATAATGCACTTCTTTTGGAAGTATCAACATCTCATATAGCAAGCAGAGTTCAGAAATGATGGATTTTTGGATATAGAGATCTGAAACACTTATTTCATTGAAATTGAGAGGAATCGCAAATACAGCTAGAAGCACAATGTTATGTACATTTATACTTATCTTTGCTGCTATTGAAGAATAATATCCTGTTCCTTTAATTGTCGTTCCCATTTTGGAACGTTGAATGGTTTACCAGTAAGGTTTTCGTAAGTTGAAACCTGATTCCTCTTCTTCATCTACCTCTCTGCCACTGGAAATTTAGACCTCTTGGGAGTGAGGAGATGCATCTTACAAGCATGTGAATCTAATTCAACAGATATTTCTCCCGAAACCAATGTTTGTGTTGAGTGCTGCTGAAATCATTACACATTATCAAAAGTCAAAACCATGGAAATCAGAAATGCTCTGCACTGTTCAGAATAAAATAAGTATATATATCATACCTTCCATAAATCTCTTGCATCAACTATAGTCCCTGGTTCTAGGTCAATGTCAGACCAGGTTGCAGTCACCGTTGCATTTTTTGAACTTCTATTCCATAAGATCACTGCTACCTTCTTACCATGAAGAGGACCTGCCCAAACCAGCCCCGTTACAAATCTATCAAGAGGCTGTGGTTGAGAAATCTGACATATATTTTGCACATGTATATTGTAGATACTCTATTTGTGTGTGTAAGATTAAATTAGCTGAGATAAATGCACTTCAAGAGAGTTCAGTAACAGTATCTGAGTTTTTAAGTGAAATATGAAAGAGTAACAGGATATTACCTCCAAACCTTTGTTGTTTTTCACGTTCTTTCCTTGAACTCCAAGTTTGTCTGCAATACAAGAAGATTAGAAGTTTTAAATCTTTCTCTGTTGAAGAAATTAAATATTTTGTCTGTTATGAAAATCTAAAATGTTTTTTTCCTGTTCATGCCTAGGTTCACTGCAATAACTTCCAGGTTGCTTATCACAGTTCATATGTGGTGTTGTCCATTGCTCGAATATCACCACCAATAACTCCTCAGGTTGCTTATAAAGAAGCCTATTTATACACAAGAAAATAGTAAGCAGCAAACTACATTTTCCTGAAAGGACTTTATGATATATGGCAATGTGTCAATAGCAGATATCTACGTTTGTTTCATGGTACCTTAGCTAAAGCCCATATACTGAAATGGGCACGATATTCTTCTGTGGTCATGCCTCCATTTCCAACTTCTAGCATATCAGGATCTAAGATGCTAAAAAACAAAGCCATATATCAGGATATTAATTTCCAATTTTCATATCATCAATATTTTTTGCAATATTCTGAACTGCTGTGGTATACTTAACAATATTCAACTATGTAACAAGGTTAACTAATTACCATTCCATCCTCCAGGTCCAGCATAAGAAGCCCATCGGTCATTTGCATCTGCTATGGAAGTCATACTGCAGAAGTAGTAAATGTGAATCCGTTCACAGTATGGAAATTGAGAGGTTGGTACTTTCTTTAGCTCAAATTATTATGTTAAACCGAAACAAGCCACTCTTCAGCCATATCTTTGTCTAGTGTTCAGTAAAATAATGAATGTGAAATGTATCATTCATGCTTACCTTTTCCAGTTATCCTCAATATCTCCCGTTGTTCTCCAACTATTTCCCACACTCTTAGCTCAAGTTGCTGGGTCTTCCCATCCCCTATTTTTGAAAAAGCTATTAATTATAAACAATGCAGTTTGTGGCAACTTGGAGGGAAAGAGCAAATGGAATAGTAATTTGGAAAAAAAAATTGTACATCAGAAGTGGGACAACTTTTGTTATCTCCTTTGATTTTGGAGAATATTTTTGAGATTACACAAAAAAAGTCAAATGAGAGATAACAACTGGATACAGTGTCAAATATGATGTCAATTGTTTGACATTCAAATGAACAGTACTAATCATACATTTCATTACCAATTTGACTAACCATTCGCACTTAGAGATAACAACCTGAGAATGAATAATGCATTGCCATATACTAAGACAAATATAAATGTAAAATGTTTGTCAAAATGTGCTTTTGAATCAAAACGGGCCAATTGAAGAACTTTTATGTTAATGTTTTCCAATGTGGTAAGCAACTAAGCTAAAGGGTACAAGAAAGAGAATATAGCTTATTGTTATTGACTTATTGCAATTAGCGTTCATTTTCACTTATTGTAAATGCAAATTCTGTAACAAGCATATATATTTAAGTAATTAGAATAATTTAATATTTACCTCTCTCTCTCTCTCTCTCTCTCTCTCTATATATATATATATATATATATATATATATATATATAAAGGTAAAATGAAAGGATAAACTAGACTCCAAAATTCAAGTATATTATTGATCAAGATAGTAGTAGACGTAGTCGAGGAAGTATTGATATAGTCTAAAAGATACTTATTAGTGCATATTTTATATTCAAATAAATTGGATGTACAATTTTTTCATTTCTAACGTATTAATATATTGCACCACTCATTCTTATAAATTACTTTTAATTAATTATGTAAAAATAATAATAACTTTAAAAAAATTATTTTCCATTTAAAAAATATTTATTTATATAAAAATATTTCCCTTATTTACACGTATTGGAATAAAATATTACACAAAATGCATGATAAGATAATTACACGTATTGAAATTACACATTAACTTTTTTTTTTTTTGCTAGTACACATTCACTTTTTATATCATTGTCAAAATTTAGATTTTATATTTTATTTACGAGTATAATTAATCTTGGTTATGTGGGAAATTTTTAAAATATTTATAAAATAAATTTAGTATATATTATTTAATTTTAAATAGAGTAAAAAGCAACTTTATTAACATCACATAAAACTTAAGATAGTATAATTATATATAACATTTTTTTAATTTATATATTATAAGAGATATTACATATCCATATTATGTAATTTGAAAAAGAAATATTATAAAAGGATATAAATATTTAACTATAGTTATATAACATAAATTGATTATGTAATTTTTGTTACTAACTGAATTTTGTCATTCTAATTGTTGAATAACTAATATGTTTATATTGATAATGTATATTAAATTTTAAATAAATTAAATGTTTGTAAACATATAATTTTATAATTAAAATTTAATTATATTTAAAATACATATTAAATATAAAACATTATTTGATAAATTACTAATTAATGTTTTATTTATATGAATTATGTAAACTCAATCTATTTTAAAAATTTAATTTAATAGTTCAGTTGAAAAAATCAAATATTAGAATAACTAATTTTTTCTAATAATTATTTATAAACAATAAATTTTATTGTCTAACTTATAACAATATTAGTCCCCATTCTTGAAAGAAAACCATTACTAGAATACACTGAGTTTTTTTAAACAGATGAAAAGTTAGAAAAAAAAAATTGAAAAAATTCATTTATAAATTACACATAATTTTTTTCATTTGTAAAATTTGTTTGTAAAAAGCCCGCCTTTTGGCGTGTAATGTTCTAGACTGATATTACAAATAGAAAAATTCGTCAGTAATTTATAGATGAATTTTTTTACAGATAAATTGTTTTGTCTGTATTTTGAAACATATTTTTGACCTTTCATATAACTGTTTATAGACAACAAAAAATTCGTTTATAAAATCTTACAGACTGACATTACAAACAGAAAAATTTGTCTATAATTTGAAACTAAAGCGCAAAATATTAAGTGAAAATTACAGATGAAAAACTTTATCTGTAAATAGGGTATTTAAACACTATGTTTTATTAAATCAGTTACAGACAGAAAAATTCGTCTATAACATGCGAAATAGATCAATACCTCACTTTTCTTTCTTCTTCCTCCTCAATTTTCATTTTTGCATGTCTCTCTCATCTCCCCCTCTCTCTACCATTTCTAGTTCTTTGTCATTGTGAGTGGTTGGAGTATTTATTTAGAAAATAAATTATATCATTGTATTCCTAGTATGATACTCTAACTTTTAATCAGTTTAATTTTTTTATTTTTGATGTAGAATAGACCCTTATGTATATCTCATTCCATTTTGGATAAAAGCTCTTAGTGATTGTTCTAGTTCTCTCTCACTTCTATTCATACTTGGCCACATAATAAGCATTTGTTGGCCTTTTACCATTATTTGTCTTCATATGTTGGAGCCCTGTAGCACTCAAAATTCTCACTTCAAGTATTCCAATTGTTTGCTTCCAAAGCTTCCAAAACTGCCTAATAGTTGACCTTATATCACTAATATACATTGTTGATTCTAGCACATGATAAGCACCCTCAAGACACACTCTTAATTGTATCCTACTTGAGAACTTATTTTCATTCCTTTTGTCACCTCCAACTTTTCAAAGTTGTACCAATGTGAATACATTGTCTTGTGATTCAAAGAATCTCAAATTTGTTCAATAGAAAAATAAACAAAATGACAAATAAAAAAATAAAATTAAATAAACAAAATGACAAATAAACAAATTTAAAAATGTTATATTGATTTACCAATGCAGAAATTATAGATGAGTCGATTTTATCTATAAACTTTGAAAAATTTGTTTGTATTTCGCGTATTTTTTGTAGTGAACATTTTCACGATGGTAAGAATGTTTTGCACAATTATTCTCTTTCTCATAATGTTAATTTATATTATCTTTCATAATTATTTAATTTTTTATCATTTTATATTAATTTGAAGTATATCTTTTATGTTAAATTTAAATTTTACTTTATTTTTTTTGGATTTTGATATACTATATTAAATTGAAGATATCTTCCTCTTTTAGACTATGTATTTAAATTTAATTTGTAAATTTAACATGCCATATTAATAAAGATAAAGAGAATAATTGTATTTTATTTTTTATAATTTATTATTTAATTTTAAGAAATTTGTCTCTTTAATTATGTTTGATATAATATAAAATTTATTATTAATAATAAAAGCATTCATTTTTTAAATTTACAGAAGTGATTAAATTTAAAACATTTATTTTTTTTAGTTTTAAAAATATTTGAATTTGATAACATTCGTATAATCTCGAAAAATTTACTGATTTTTGAATATTTTCAAAGACCTTAAGTGGTATCTTAACACTTTTATTGCCCCTCAGATAAAAAAATTATTCGTTATGCCCTAAACAATTTATTATTACTTCTTATTGAACTTCCATCTGTGAGCAACTCTAATAGGTATCCTATATCCGAATTAGAGGGCAGCATACCGCAACAAAAGTGATATATTATATAATTTATATTTTAAATATATTTTGAAATTTTATTTTTCAATTAAATATATTTTTATGAATAATTTATTTTCTTTTATAATTTTATCTTTTTAATCATTTTTCTATTTTTTATTTTTTATTTTTTTAATGAATTTCATTTCAATTTTTAAACTACTACTTACTTAAATTTATAAAATTAAAAATAACATAATAATAAATAAAATTTTAAAACATAAAATAATTTAATAATAAATCAAAATCGAAAAAAATAAATTAAAGTTAAACCTAAAAAACAAACACGGCTTTATTTTTTTTGGGTCAACGACACCCGGTGTTAAATTTTCCTTTTTGAGATATGAAGTCTTGCAAGATGGAAAGACCAAAATTGACCATTAATTTGGGCGATAGAATTTGAGAATATCAAAGATTGACTTGGGGCTGTTTGGGTAGAAAAGATTAACCAAGTTTTATTTCAATATGAGAGTTCATGTTTTAAATATTTAATCCAATAAAGTGAGAAATGCTTACAACAAGATAAATTATTTTCACAGGCTTAATTAAACACTTGATTTTTAAGTTAAGCGGTTAATTATATGATAAAAATAAATTAATTCTACAGAAACTTTTCTAAGCGTGTCATAAATGTTTTTGGATTAGATTTTTGGAAAATAACTTTTTTATAATTTTTTAGAGACATTAAAACAAAAATGGTAATTTTCCCACAAAACGGTTTCTAAATGTCTCTAGATCAATGCTTTTTTGGGTCTTGGTTTCAATCTAGAACATTCACCCAACGAAGAGTACTTCTCTTTATTGATTGTAAATATTGTACTTGGGTAAAAATTAATCAAATTAAACAACTTAAAAAATATACTTATTTAAAAAAACATCTTACCAATATCTACTGAGGGGCAAGGATTTTATTATAATTCTATATTTTTAGAATATTTCTAAAAGCTCTTATAAATTAATTTCTTTTTAACAATATTGTCAATTATAAAGTAAAGAATATTACTTTTCTTTATTCTCAAAATATAAATTAATGGACAAAGTTTCATTTCTCAAGAGGAGAATCCATGTTTCCTATAAAACAAAAAGAGGCAGCTATTCTCTTTATATTTAAAATGTATTTTTAAAATACATATTAAAAAAATACACAATTGAAAAATAAAAACAACAGTAGTCGTGATGATTGTGAATTTTGAACAATAAAACTAATTCAACGTACAAGTGGAGAAAGCACAGTTTATTGAATATATACAGAGGACAACATCTCCACACTTGAAGAAGTTTTGAATGTTGATATTGCAAACCAGCAAACAAAAAGAAATGCATACACACACTCATAAGCTTAAGAGGTAAAGGGGGAAGGTGACAAGAAAAAGAGGATCCGTAGGCTTACACACACTTCATAATACAAAAATGAACTAGTAATCCCCAGCAGCCAAAGGTTGGTGATGATGAGGAGGCTCAATTGGGACCATAATGTATTCGTATAAGAGTGCTGCCAAGGCTGCCCCAAGCAATGGACCCACCCAGTAGATCCAATGGTAGTTCCATCTCCAGCCCACCAAGGCAGGCCCAAAAGCCCGAGCAGGGTTCATGCATGCTCCATCAAAGGGCCCACCCACCAGGATGTTTGCCCCAACGACAAGTGCAATGGCTAAGGGTGCAATTGTACCTATGTTACCCCTTTTAGGATCAATAGCAGTAGCATACACTGTGTACATTAGACCAAACGTCAAGACAATCTCAAGAATAAGGCCATGAAACGCTCCAAGACCCACCGACACATTGAACGCCTCTGGTCTCTACAATAGCCAACCGCAATATAGTTAGTCATTACTCATTACTTGTATTTTTATTATACTTTCACTTTCCAGAGGAATTTTATCCGAAAAATCTCAATAGAGATGATGTTTTCATCCTTAATTTACATACAACCAATGAAGCCAAAGATAATAATTTATAATCAACCACAATCTAAATTTTGGAATCTTAAAAATGGATGGGTAAATTGAAGTTTAGTTGAGTAACTTCATATCTCTACTATTGATGCATGGATGGGATCATAGAAATAGAAGGAAAGGTTAAAGGTGGGATTTGACGTAGCATACCATGTTGTTAGTCACAAGCCTCAACAAGAGGGCAGCCACTATAGAACCCAGAAGTTGAGCAACCCAATAATAAAGGGCTCCAAGGACAGAGATCCTGCCACCAAGGAGAGCACCAAAAGTGACGGCAGGGTTGACATGTCCACCAGAAACATGCATGCTACCAGAAATAGCAGCAAATAGAGCAAAAGCATGAGCTAGTGCAAGCACTACTAAATCACCAGCTGATGCACCTGGATCCTTGTAAATCTTGCCTACAACCCCACAATTAAATCACACACTCATCATGCACCACCAACATATATACATAAAATAGCATATTCATAGCACGCATGCACATATATTTACCATAAATTTAGTTGCTAAGTATGGACATGTAATTAATGTAAGTAAGGAGAGAGGTTTTAAGTATGGTACTGACGGAGAGCAAGTGCAGAGCCTTCTCCAACAAAGACAAAGATGCAAGTGGAGAGGAATTCAGCTAAGGTAGCTCTCATGGAATCTGGGTGGTTAGCCTCATCCAACCTTCCAATCGCATATCTTCGAGTTGCCATCCCAACAAACCTTTCTTTTTCACTTTCTCTTGGGGTTGGTGTTGGATTGCTAAAAGATATTGTCAAAGACCCAGTAGGTCTTTCAAGGCGTTGTTGACCCCGATCCAGTTGAAACTTGAAAGAGCTAACACAAATGCCAAGATGATTCTTCACTTAATACAAGAGCTACTTCTTTTTCCATAAGCTTGATTTGAAGGGTGAGAAACTTTTTAAGCTTAGAAGAAGGGGTCATTTGCATTTGCATGCATGACTGAAATGTGGAGTGCCACGGCTTATCACCCAAATAGGGATTCGACCTGAGTGGGACACGTGGATTTATGAAATGCGCAACGTTGGGCACGTGGTGAAATGTGTTGACTGCTCATTTCAATTTGAGATCTTCTATTTATTTCAATATACCCCAATCTTTATCATCATAAATACCTGTGTCTGATTCCTCTGTTTGTGTTCATCCCTTTGACTAAACTTTCAATCTTGTCTTCGAGATCGTATAAGTTGGATATTTTAATCATTGGGATATTCAAAGGTTTTATTAGCCCCTGATTTTATAATATATATATATATATATATATATATATATATATATTATTTTTATTAAAAAATTAAATTGAATATCATTTTATAAATTAAAACATTTTAATAATTTAAAAACTAAAATATTTTGACTTGAGAACTACTTTTCTTCTTCTATGTTTTAACAGTAGAACCAGCGATAATTTTTTAATTTTTTTTCTCAATGATTACAACACCAAATTGTTACTAACGCGGTCGTTCAACTTCTCGGTTTGGGCTTACGTTTCTTAGATCCAGACCATAAAAATTTTCTTTGATACTTCTACTAATGTTCCATTTAATAAAACCAGAGAAAGAAAATAATTTAATTTAATGCAAATTTTGTGTTTGATTGTTAACAGTATCTTCTTTCTTTTTAAGTTAAACACGTGTATTTCATATTAATTTTTATTTTTATTATTTAAAATTAATTAGTAATCAATTAATTTAATTATTAAAATATAATTATATTTTAAAGGCACCTATATAATGAAAGGCATTAAATGGAAGTTATAGTTTCTTGTATTTTATTTATTAAAAAAAAACATATATTTTTTATAAATGTTTTTTATGTTTTATTTTATTCCAGAGAATTTTTAAGTTAAAAAATTTATAATTGTCAAACACAATATACATGCGTCATAATTTTTAGATAAATTAGAATTAATATTTTTAAGAAATAAATTTAAAATAATTTGTATTAATATATGTTAACGAAATTTTGATATTATTAATTATTTTACGAAAATTAATTTCCGTAATGGAGATAATTGGCCCTTACGTAGCTAGCTGTTGGATTCGTGTGTGTTGGAACCCAGGAAGCTTAGCCTAGCTATGACTACGTCCTTCTTGAATTCTCCTCTTCCACTGCCAATGCCATGCACTCGGGTTCGTTATGATTCTACTTCAATCTTCGTTTCCTCTCTAATTGTGTATCTAATTCATGAATTTCACACTTAACAGTGCAAATTGAAGCAAGAAGTTAGGTTATTATCACGGCCACGGATAGGAGGAATGAGCAAAAGCATGGGTTTTAATGCCCCTGCAAATGGGGTTAAAGCGTTTTTCTTTAATCCTGCACAAGACCCCATCGCCAAAGAAGCTCTCAAGGTATTCTTTTTTATACGCGAATCATCTCTTTAATTATGTGGACAGCTTCTTTTGTTTCTGGGTACTGAAATTTTAGCATAAAAGTATGCGGGTGAGATCTGCAGTAATTAATCTTTTTACTTTTGATTATAGAAAACCAAAGTAAAATCTTGTTCATCTTAAATTTGCCTCATCAATCTATACTCTGATTGGCAGCATCTCATGACACTGGTCTCAATTACCCCTTTTATTGTTTCATCTGTAGTGTAGTATATACGCAATGGAAAAATCTTTTCTGAAGTGAAATTGACTTTAAAGTGAGCCAGTAAGGGTGTATCTGCTCGTAAAATTCAAAGCTGTGCAAGATCTTTCAAATGAAGATGAGAAGTATCCATTGATACCATATGGTAGCCCTGTAGTATATGTTTGGGGTTTCAAGCTGTGCTTACGTTGTACATCTTATCTCACTTTGAAGCCCCAAGGGGGTAGGTTACATAGTAGGGAATCTAGATTTCTAGATACTGTAGCCACTTGGAATTCAAGAATCTCTAAAGAAACTTAATCCCAATTGTTTGATTCAAATTTATCATTATTGAACTAATCACAAATGTAATATGTTGTCCCATTGAGGAGATTCATTGATATTTTTTCAATCTCTATGATTGATTGGTGGGACTATATGGTATGATTAAAATATTAGCATGCTGTTCCAGATAGTCGTGTCATGTGACATTGTTTGCCAACTTTAGAAGTCAGGTTAAGCTAATTATTGTCCATTGTCGAAACACTCTTTTTACTGTTTCATAACCAACTGAATTATCAACAGATAAAACTGCTGGTGGGTGATATTTGAGTAAAAATTATCTGTCAATTTTGTTCTTCAGTGAAAATACTTGTTTGAAGTTTCCCTATTAATTACATTTATCTTTTACCAACACTTGTGATCTTTAAATGTAGTTCTTCTGTTTTAGATATATGTCCGCAAGTAGAGGGCAGAGACTTTTCAGTGCTCAATTTTGTACTTTTTTTAAGTAGTTACTCCCAGCTGAACTAGCAGCTATAATCTTAGTTATTTGTAATATTGCATATGCATGCTATGCCTCCTTAGACTTGTCTCCTGTGCTTGAGTAAATTTTATGATGGAGCTGAAATGCAATTTATTTGACAAAGTAACTAGTTCCTGCTCAATTCATGGGTAAACATTTTAGTGATTTTACTCTGTTTTTATCCAGAAAAAGGGAAAGAATATTTTTGTGTGTGCTGCTAACTTGAAAACTTGTTACCTTGTCTCCCAAGATATAGTTAAATTGTATTTTGTTGCAAGACAATAAGCTAAAGCACTCCGTTCTGCTCACAAGGATGTTCGTTGGTGTTGAAACTTTGACGTGTTTTTCCCAACTTTTGTCATTGCTATAATTGCAGGAACCAGTGGCATTCTTGGGTGGAATGTTTGCGGGTATTTTAAGGCTTGATTTGAATGAGGAGCCCCTCAAGGAATGGGTTAATAGGACTGTGGAAGCTGCAGGTATCAGCGAAGAAGAAACCAATGCAGAAGAGTCAGCAACTGAGGCAGCTCCACAAGAGATTCAGATTGAGTAACAATTGCAATTGTTTCTTCTGTATGCAAGTTTTAAGAAACTTGCTTGGGATTAGAATGCCAACAGAGCTCTAAAAATCGGTTCAATTCGTTATGAACTATAATCTTCATATTACATATGTGAAACAGAGAACAGCTCTGACTTAGCATTCGTATTGGTTTGATAACTTGCTGGATTTGGTATCAAGTCTCTGTTTTGCTATGCCATCTAAAATTTATCCTCAAGCATTTTATTTTGGAAACCATTTGTCTTAACCTGCTATACAACTTACAAATTCTTTTGTACCATAGTTTTGTTTTGATATAATGATAAAGTGATAAACTAAGTTGTTTAGTCATGTAGTTTGGTCTGGTCTCAGAAACAGTTTCTGCCGAAGGTGTATTTTATATTAGTGAGAGTTCTGTGCACGAGAACGCCATTTTAAAATTTGTTAGTGATGTACACACAATTTCTCATCACGAGTGGCCCCCAGTTGAAGGAAATTACACAGTCCGCACAATAAATTCAAACACAAGCATAGTAGTTGTGCAGAATAAGTTTTTATGTAACCAAATATAATTCTTAATTTCGACGGGCATGCATTAGAAACTATACCTCACTAGATTTGTTGTTGTATATATTCTTTATTTGTTTGCAAGGAATGTCCTAAGACCCAATGGAAGTAAAAAGAAAATTGGTTAAGCTTTTGTTAAGACTTAATCGTATTTGCCGATATTCCATGATGTCTTTTTGTGAAGTGCGTGAAACGTAGCCTTAATATGCAAGTAAAGTTTCCTTCCTTGCCAAGCAAGTTCGGAGAATGTCAATACGTCTATCCCCTCATTTTATGTCAAGAATTACCGGCACTTGCCATGCATTTGTTATAGTTGAAATGACGATGCATGGTGCATAAAACATTGTAGTACATCATTTCACATGGGAGTGAAGTGGCAAAATCAGTGACGTGCAAAAATTCTAGTAAGACTAAGTAATAGAAATTTAAAGATATGCAGTGCACGTAAGTAGCATTGTTCTTTTACCTTAATGCTGACGATTTGTCACACCGACATCACTATTCACTACAGGTGTCCTAGCCTCAACAAAAGGAAAAATGTAAAAAGGAACTCTTGTCTCTGACGTAACACAACAGAACGAATTGTCAATATTTAGATGAACTACCACTATCTATTTCGGTAATTTACATGCCGTTTGTAGGTGAGGAAGGTAACCACACCACAGTATCTTTTGAGAGACCAATCAATCCATCTTCCACTTCATATTTAGAAGTCAAATAAGTAAAGTCTACATGTAGCAGCAACACAAACATTGTGTGCCGAATCTCCTCTTACCCATTGTTCCCCCCACAAAATTTGAGAGAAGCACTCAGCAAATCACTTGTACTCATGGCAGATCATCAGAGGCAGAGGATCCACCCAATGGAGGTAGGAGCACCACCCCCTCCAACAACCCCATTGGTGCCTCCAGGTTCTTCAAGATCAGAAAAGGGTAACCCTTTACACCATCCTCCCCTACTACATGCTATGCCAGCAATATACCCTACACCAAAAAAAAGAAGCTGCTTTTGTAGGTGCATATGTTGGACTCTATGCTTGCTTGTGCTGGTGCTCATTATCTTAGCAGCAAGTATTGGAATCCTTTACCTAGTCTTCAAACCAAAACTTCCCAATTATTCAGTTGACACCCTGAGGATAAGTGATCTAAGGCTAAACTTTGACTTAAGTTTGTATGCAAGATTTGATGTGGAGATCACAGCAAACAACCCAAACAAGAAGATTGGTATTTACTATGAGAAAGGTGGAATGTTGAGTGTGTGGTACACAAACACAAGGCTTTGTGAAGGTTCACTACCCAAGTTCTATCAGGGTCATCAGAACAAAACAATGCTCAATGTGTCCTTGACTGGTCAAGTGCAATCTGGAAGCACCTTGATGAATGCACTCCAACAACAGCAGCAGACAGGACGCATTCCATTGAATCTCAAAGTGCATGCACCAATAGCCATCAAACTGGGGAGGTTGAAGCTGAGGAAGGTGAAAGTCTTAGGCGAATGCATGTTGGTGGTTGATAGCTTATCATCTAATAATCTGATAAGCATTAAGACTAGCAACTGCAAATTCAGGATGAAACCTTAAATTTCCACGATGGAAGAGTTTGGCTTAGTTCGTGTAATTTTATTTGTATTTTTTATTTTTTTGGGTTGGGGAATTAATTTTTTTTATGAACAATACACTACTATTGCTGCAGTTGCTTACAATATTTTTGTTGTCTTTTATTTTAGTCATTGATGATTTTGATAATCTGATAGCGTGAGATTGATTGACTGAATGAATGCCTCATGATTTGTTATCAAGAATGTGCGACTAATTACCAATTTAGGTTGAAAAAGATGAATTAAGTGAAAATAAATAGGTTTAGTGTGAGTTTGGGTAAGCACTAAGCAGTAATAAAGTTGATAATAAATTTATTGGAATAAATTTTTAAAATATTTTGATAAAATTTATTAAAAAAAACATAAAATATTTTTATAATTTTCCTGTAAACTTTATCATAAGCTATTTCTCTAATTGACGGATTGGATTGGAAGACTTTATTCTTTTATGAAGAATCCAGTGTTAATGAACTTTGTTACATTAATATATTTCTTTTAATTCTCAAAGACTAAGGATGTAAGATTATCTCTCAAAATGCGTTAGGAAAACTGTTTCTCTTACACTAATTTCTCAAATTAAGACTCACTTGAACCTTAATATTTGCAATCTTCAATACTCCATACATCCACTCTAAAACAACACAACCTATTAGTAGTCACACCCCTTGTGAGTGATTATCAGCATTCGAGTCTCATATAACTATGTCATCCATTCATCATCAATAGTTTGCCTATCAACGTGGTAGCAATTTTGTACCCTCTCCGCATTGGACCACCAAAATTGTATTAGAACAATTATATAAATAAATAGATATGATGTTAATTTTTCTAAATTAATATTTTATTAAAAATTTATGAAACATTATATAAATTAAGGTTAAGAATTATTTATTTTTAAAAATAATTAATGAATATTTGGAGGATTATTAAATAAAAAAATAAAAAATATTTACCATTATATAATTATTTAGAACTCATTAGTTCTAATTTATTTGAATTTTAAAGGTGGAAATTTTGGTAAAAATATCTAAAAGTAAGAAATTTGATTCGATAAGCGGCTTGACAACTTTGGATAAGAAATGCTCTTAATACATCTTAGGCCTTAAGATAGGATAAATCATAGTTATTATAAAATGAAGATAAATTATGTGACAAAAGACACTCAGAATTAAATGTCACTCTTATCATAGGGCATTTTAATTAAAAGTTTCTTACTTGTAGGAGTTCTTAAACCCTGAATCATAAACAACAACAATGCATGCTACCTTTCTTTACTCTATCTTCTCTATTTTACCTCTCTTTTCTAATCACCATGAATAACCATGATTTTGCATTTATCAAGAACCATTTCTTTCTTTTATTTTACTTTTTTTTTCTTCTTCTTTACACACTTGTCTTGAAATACACTCAAATAAAAATCTTATAAAAAAGTGTACATCAAACAACAAAGCACAAGCATAAACAGTGTTATTTTCCATCTCATTCCTCTATAGTAATGGGAGATGATTCAATATTCATTTTCTCTTTCTTCAATATTCATTTTAGTATAGAAATAATAATAAATTCAAATATTTATTTTGAAATAAAATTATTTTAATAACTATTCTTGTTTTAATTAAGTTGCATAATTTTTCATCTTTTCTACATTAAATATTTAATATTATTATTTATTCATCATTTTTATTTATTTAAATATTATTTTAATACTTCAATTTATTTCAAATATTGAATTTTTTTGTCGTGATAAAAAAATAGTGATATACTATATCAAATCAAGATATATATTTTTAAGAAACAAATTAAAACTTAAAATTATTTTAATATTAATTTTAAATTTTGATATATTATATCAATAAATTAAAATATATATATATATATATAAATTTAAATAATTTGTTTTATTTAACTTCTCTTTAGTTTTTTTGTTTTTGCACTAACTCCTCTTTAGTTTTAAAAGACTTATCTTTATCTAATATCATAAAATATTTATTATTGTAATTTAATTTGTTTGATAAATTTGATTTAAAATTTAAAATACCCGTAACATACCGAGAACTAGTTAGTATATAAAAATGACACAATGAGTAAAGGGGACTGAACTCACTGAGCGACTGAATTTGAAGGAGACGGATTAGGGTTTCAGCTTACAGAAATTTCGATTCTGGAAGAACAATGGGCAGCGAAGACGAGTCGATTGAGCAAGCCGTTGCTTCCCGTCGCGAAAGATTACTGGCTCTCAGAGCTGCTCAGGAATTGTCCAATGCTCCCGAACCTGAACCCGAACCTAAGGATAATAACGACGATGAAGATGAAGATGAAGAACAAGAAGGGAAGGGAAGTTCCTCAAACGGGAGCATGAAGTTCCGTAACTATGTTCCTCATGATAAGCACCTTCAGGAAGGGAAGCTTGCCCCTGCAGTGCTCCCAAAGTTCGAAGACCCTGTGGCTGCTGCGCCTCCCCCACCCGAGCCTGAGGCCAACGACGATCCCTTTCTCAATATTGCTCCCAAGAAACCAAATTGGGACCTGCGTAGAGATGTGCAGAAGAAGCTTGATAAGCTCGAAAAGCGAACTCAGAAGGCTCTCTATCAACTTATGGGTATGTGCCTCCCCTTTTGCGCTATTTATTTCTTATTGTTGTTGCTCGATGAAATATCCATCTTATTAATATCTGTTATGTGCTAAGAAGATAATATAGGCAATTTATGTTAGTCCATGAAACAGAAATAGTATTTAGGTTAAAGTTGGCCATTGTTTTGTTTGATATCAGATATTACTGAAACAAACAAAAGTTTAGGGACAGAAATTAAACATAAGAATTGAGGATCACTTCAGAGGTGTGTCTTTGCCTCAACTAAATATATTGGTCAATATTACTTTCATATTTCTAGAGAAGTGAGCTTATTCCTTGCTTTAGACGAGGTTATCAATTTATCATAAATTGCAATTCAAATTGTGAATCATCAAATTAATTTTTGAATTGTGAGTTGTAATGGCAATTTGTCTATAGCAGTACTGTGTAATAAACAATTTATAAAAGAAACTAAATTTATAGGGTTGTTATGGTCAAGTGAGCAGATGATATGGCATGCAAAGTGTCATTCCATGTGGCTCCTTGCAAGGCATAACACCTTTAATGAGAATGCAACACATGGTGCATGCATGCAATTTTTATAATGATGTATATTATTATTAATCCACCCTTATATAACTAGTTAGTGTCGTTGCTCTTGAAAGTGAGGTAGGGACCCAAACTAACCTGCAGAAAAATGAATGGTTTGGATTGGGTAAATGAGTTGGTTTGGACTCAAAAAACACACAAACCAAATCAACATGAGGACAGGTCTTAGGTTAGTCAAATAAAAACTGATAGAAGTCTGTTATACTCATAACTATTTTCTAGTTTTTAAGACTGAAATCACATTGCAAGATTGTTATTTGTTGTGACCTAACCTTCACATTCCCATTCTCAAATTGTTGCCCAAACCTTACTGCTGTGCTGCTGTCATCCTGTCAACCCCCGATCCCCCATTATGTTGTGCTGCTGTCATCCTGTCAACCCCCAATCCCCCATTCTATTGTGCTGCTGCAAGAATGAATCAAAGAATGGTAGCTTAGTTTCCAACTATGATAGATTTTTTCCAATTTTTTATATTTTCCCTATTTTTTGAAAAAAAATATATATTGTTGAGCCAATCAGACATTCACCCAATCTAAATCATATCAGGTTGGTTCAGCACTGTTTGTACTCATTTTTTTCCCAAATTCAGCTTGACCTGATTCCACCCATGCACGAAAAATATCTACTAACACTTGATGTATTTTAATACAAATAATAATTTGACAACATATTTATTAATATAAACATAATATCAATTAGTATTAGCACATAGTTAAACCAAATAAAAAATATGAAGTGTTAAGATATGTTGTTATTCCTAATAAAAACAGATTGTTTTAATTAATATACATTATATTATAATGTAATGTTCTTATAATAATAAATTATAAAAAATTGCATGCATGTACTACGTGTCACATCTTTATTGAAGGTGTTATTTCACAGCACTTCTTGTAAGGTGTTATGTAAAATCGGCTATTTCATGTGACACCTTGCAATCAGCCTCATAGAACAGTCCCATGCATCCTATGTTTCACATCTCATGGAAGGTGTCATTCCATGTGACCATGTAAAAGGAGTTATTTCACATTCCTCTTGCAATATACCACATCAAATGGCGCCTTGCATATCATGTGTCGGATTCTTATTAAGGTGTCATATCATATAACTTCTTGCAATATTTCATGCAAAAGGAGCTATTCCACATGGCACCTAGCAAGGATCCATTTCACAAGGATCCTTGCAACACAGAATAATGCCTTGCACATACTATGTGTCACATCCTTGTTGAAGGTGTCATTTTATGTAAGTTCTTGCAAGGTGCCATGTAAAGGAAGCTATTCCATATGGTTCCTTCTTATGAGTCACATAGAATACTGCCTTGCAGGCCACATCAATGCCTACGTTACCAGAAACTCATCCGTGTTTAGTTTGCTATATATTTTTGGTAAATTATTTTTTAAATACTACTATTTTAGTTAAACTGGCTAATTGTAATTTAAACTGAATCATATGATTCATTATTCATAGATGCAATGAAAAATAGCTTAAAATATATAATAAAAATTATGGGAAGTGGTCATTGTAGTAATTTTGAACTACAAATTGACAACAAGACACCTTAACCACAATGTTATCAATGGCAGATGGCGAGTCATGTTGGACAGAAAAAAAAACTGCCCTAAAATTATGGCTGATGCCATGGTGGGGCGGAAGCATGTTGATCATAATAATATAATATATATATTATATCTACAAAACTATATTAAAAAAATCTCAAAGGTCACAGTTTTCTGGGCTGTACGTAGAAAAGGATAGTAACATGGCTGGAAAACGATGGAAAAGAGAACACAGCCTTTGGAGAAGATGCAGACTGAGTGAGAAACAGAGCACTGTTTGAAGAAGAAAACCATAGCACCAGAATATGCAAAATAGACACAGAGAGTGACAAATAGAGCACTGTATGAAGCATAAAAACAGAGCACAAAGAAGCAAAATAGAAAATAGATGCTGAAAAACAGGGCCCTCCACTCACAGATGCCAGAAAACAGCCGAAAAGGATGTCTTCTCCAGCAAAAATGGTGGAGCTGAAGGAGAAGCTGGCTTTAGAGAAGAAGGAAGAAAAACAGAGCATGAGAGAGAACATATGTACGTGTGACAAAATGTTCATTTTTCCCTTAAACCCAAAATAACAATATAGCAGGGGCAAAATTGGACTTTGCTCCCCTTCTCCATCATGCTAAATAAACGACCACACACCGGGAATTCGTTTGTGATTAGGGCTCAACCTCTACAATAGAAGAAATACTCCAAAACAGCAAGTATTTTGTGGCCGACCCCTGCTCCATGGCAGCATGATAGCAACGTTATCAATAAGTATGGTTTTGGGTTCTTGGGTCACTTTGAACCGGGCTAGGTCAGAGGCCCATTTCTTTTTTTTCTCAAAAACTGGCATTTTCTGCCATGGCCGCTAGGCACATAATGGCCGCCTTCGTAAATCCACCATTTTCTGTATGGTTGTGGCAGTTTGGTTGAAAACCACCACGGACATAGCTTAACCATTAGTTTTATGAAAGAAAATCATAAGCCATATGTCATGAGCCAAAGTGAAAACTAAGCAATGATATAGCCAAATAAGGTGTGCATAGAGCAAGTGACTGTCTGAAGCCTTTATCTTAGGAGCATGAAAACATAGCAACAGAACGACCAACCATTATACAGAGTGACTGTGAAAAGCAAAGTGGTAGAACAACCAACCATGATGCATAAATTGTTGGATTTTTTTTTCCCTGTTAGATACCATGTGAATCTTTTGATGATATGTGTGACTTATAAATTTAGCATTGTCAGCAATTTCAGTTGGTTGTTGAGTCCACTGGCCATATTCATGCAGCCTTTATCTATGTTCTGTTTTAGTTGGATAGCTGCCCTTTTTAGTTTTTCTATCATCAGATCCTAGTAGTTTGTGTAAATACTACACTTTCGTTTAAATCACTTATGCGCCTTCTAATGAATGTGGAGCCATTACAATGGATTTTTTATTTTCTTACAGTGGAACAAGAGAAGCAAAACCAATTGGCTGAAGGAGATGATACAAATGGCACAGCTGACTAGATTGCAATTTGTGGCAGCAGCTGAAAGATATTGAAGCAATATGCTGAAAACCTCTATTCCCATTTAAGCTGCTTAACGCTTACAATATTGGCTTCTAAACACAAGTCATTGCGATTTTGCAGTGTGTCGTGAATGTTGTATCATTCACTTCTCTTTCAATGACTGTGTGTGTGTGTATTAGATCTGTTTTTAGAGGTGAAATTTCCCTGGATTCTGATAGGTGTATTATTTTATAAATATACGCAACATTGCTCAAGTATCTGATATGTAATTTCTATTTCTTTTTTTCTCAATTTTAGTTTCCTATGTTGAGACTAAAAGGAATGCTTAAGCGGGTGATTAATGATCTTCAGGGCAACTGTTGCGACAATAATTAATTTTCTTATTTGATAGGATAATATTTTTGTTATTATTTTTCTATTTGATAGAATTTTATTCTATTTCTCTTTTAGGATCGTTGTTCTTCTTTTATAGGATTTGATTGTTGTTTCTTTTTTCTATAATTACCTTAGTGATTGTATTAAGAATTATTGAAAAATTCTTATAAGTAAAATTACAAGCAAAAGGGGATTCCTTTTGTGTCTTTTTCTGCAGTCATTAGAATTGGTATCAAAGCTCGATCTTGGCACCTTATGGCAGACAGGACTAAAGCATAGGAACAAAACGTTTGGAAGAATCAGTGAGGTTATTAAAGGGGATGACAGAGAAACAGGCTGTTGCCTTGTCTGATCTAACAAATATGGTGGCGGCTATCAGTATGAAATTCGATCAATTCACCACTTGGAGACAATTCAACTGGCAGTAGCAAGGGTGGTTATAGTGCGAACGATTCTCAGAATAACAGTGATTTTGGCCAAACTCGATTTTCTAAATTGAATTTCCCAAAATTTGATGGTAAGAATCCAAGTGGCTGGGTCTACAAATACAACTGATTCTTTAGCCTTGATGGGGTTGAAGGAGAAGAATGGATGAGTATAGCCTTAATTCATTTGGAGGGTAAGACTCTTGACTGGTTTCAGAATACGAAGTGGCTAAATCAAATGTCAGTTGGGCAAAATTTTCGGTCGATGCGGTCTCTCAGTTGGGTCCCAATATATATGAAAGCTTGGTGGGACAACTAACAAAACTAAAATAGACTTTTGCAGTAAAGGCATATCAAGAACAATTTGAAACATTAATGGCCAGAACTATTGGTTTATCTGAAGATTTTTTTGTGCAATGTTTCATTAGCGAGTTGAAGGATGCAATCAAGAATCAGGTAACCATGTTCAAATCAATAACCTTAACCCAGGCCATTGGGTTAGCTCTATTACAAGAAGGCACAATAGAGGTTATTCTTAAAGAAGCCAAATGGGTACATAAAGGTGGTGTCAATATCACTAATTATTCAACAAGCAAAAAGATCGATAACAATTTGCCTCCGATCACGAGAATTTTTGCCGCTGAAATGTAGGAAAGACGTGACAAAAAGCTATGTTATTACTATGATATAAAGTATAAGTCTGGCCACATATGTAAAAGGAGTTAAATTTATCTTTTAGAAGGGAAGGACAACGAGGAAAATGATCAGGTTGCTTCTGAAGGTGATGATCTTGTTGTTTCTCTTCTTACAATCTCTAGATCAGCCTCTCATCAAACTATGATGATTTGCGGGAACATCAAGAAAAAGGCCATTATTATATTAATTGACTCAGGAAGCACTCATAACTTCCTTGACCCAGTTGTTGCAAAAAGAAGGGGTTGCATAATCTAACGTATTAGCCCTATGAAAGTGGTTATGACAGATGGAACAAAATTTGTGAGCAATGCAATTTGTAGGCAACTTAAGTGAACTATGCAAGGGAAAGAGTTTCAAGCTGATTTGAGACTTTTATCCTTAGGCGGTTGTGATATGGTCTTGGGAATTCATTGACTAGCAAAGTTGGGGCCGATATTATGGGACTTCAAAAGTTTGAGAATGGAGTTCTATGTTATAGGAAGAAAATTTGTGTTGAGAGGTGCTACTACAACTCTTATTAAGATGATATCTGCAACCCGTATTCAACAAAAACTGAAACATTTGTCTCAATCATTGGCTGCCCACATCTATTCCATACGAATAGAAGATGAAGGAAAGATAAAGGGAGATGAAAGTGATCAATCCAAGGAACTTGTTCACTTGCTACAACAACACTTGAGTATTTTTGCTAAGCCAAAAAGATTACCTCCCCAAAAGGAGTATGACCATAAAATACCTCTTGTGCCAGGATCAGTCCCACCCAATATTCGACCATATAGGTATCCTCATGTGCAAAAGAGAGAGATTGAAAAGATGGTGTAAGAAATGCTCGAAGTTGGAATGATCCATAGAAGTGTGAGTCCCTTCTCCTCTCCATTATTGTTGGTTAAAAAGAAGGATAGATCGTGGAAGATGTACATGGATTATAAGTCTCTTAACAATATTACCATCAAAGATAAGTTCTCTATCATCGTTATTGACAAATTATTAAATGAGTTACATGGGACAAATCTTTTATCTAAGTTGGATCTTTAATCTGGTTTTCATCAAATAAGAATACATATTACTAATATTTATAAAACAGCATTTAGGACCTATGAAGGTCATTACAAATATCTTGTTATACCTTTTGTTAACTAATAATGCTCTCAAAATTCAAGCCTGGAAGACAAGACCAGTTTTCTAAGAGAGGGAGAATGTTGTGACAATAAATAATTATCTTATTTGATAGGATAATATTTTTGTTATTATTTTTCTATTTGATAGAAATTTATTATATTTTTCTTTTAAGATCGTTGTTCCCTTTTTATAGGATTTTATTTTATTTTTTTTAGAATTTGATTGTTGTTTATTTTTTTTTTCTATAATTACCTTAGTGATTGTATCAAGGATTATTAAAAAATTCTTATTAGTAAAATTACAAGCTAAAGGGATACCCTTTTTGTCTTCTTCTGCAGTCATTAGAGCAACACTACCCTGCCACCAAAGATCTACCCATTCTTTAGGGATTAATGATCTCTATGCGTAGGGTATAGCCCTGGATGGCCTGATAAATCAAAATCCACCTTATATGCGCATAAAACTTGGCGCTCTGTTGATAGATGAGTTTTATGCCTTCCGAAAGGACCGTCTTACTGACTTCACACGGCAAAGGCTTCTCTTTCTTCAAGGTCATGTATAATTTCACTGGTTAATATTAAATTCAAAAATTATCCGACCAAAAATGTTCGTATCTCTTTTCCTGGACTTTTCTTGCTCATTGTAGTTTTTTTTTTGGTCGAATTGTAGGGTTATATCTATATATCTAAAACAATATTAAATTGGGCTTTTAGCCCTTTACTGTACTGTATTATTGCAGTCATGCCCACAAAGCTTGCCCAAATAAGGAGTATCGACCAAAACCAACTCTGCCCAAATCAGAAAGCGTACAAAAAGGTGAGAATTATTATCTTTTCAACAATACCTTTTCTTCTTGACCCATAAAACAAATATTATTTTAATTATATTAGTCAAACCAAAATACAATCAGTTTTTCTAACAATTATAACAATACATTAAATTTTATTACTTAAAAAAGGTCAATATATACTTTTGTTTGTATATCCTTCTCCATACTGTACTGTATTTACATGGAGGTTTAGCTGTCACTGCACACTCTAGTTTGATAAAATGTCGAGTTCATCTTGTTAACTGTACTGTGATAGATACTGTTAACATGTCGAGATCACCCTGTTAAAACGTCATAAATTCCCTTAGCATTTCGAATTTTAACACAACCTCAAGGAAATTTTTCTTTCTCCGCAATGCACAAGTCAATTTTACACACGATCACTTGTACAACTTGATTTAACAAATGGAGGATTTGACTGCCTTTAGCAAAACAGTAATAATCTTATTATTTGGGTATTGGTAAGGAAACCCTTTCTTTTTTTCCCCTCAAATAGACAAATTTACATAGTAACACAACTTAAAGCTCTATTTCCACTTGTGGAGAGGATGGGAGGGAATCAATTTATGAAGAAAAAAAGGGTAAAAGGCAGACACAATCAGAAATAGTTAATTTTCTTCTATTGACAAGCACTGAAAAATCACCCTTCTGAGCTTGAAGTTGAATGTCTTCTTTCTGATATTTTTGAGGTCTGCAAATATATGTAGTTTTTTAATTTTTCATCCCTTGAGATGGTTGGGGGCACCACTTTGTCCCCCATTCACGTTTTCTGTTCTCCAAGATGGATCCACCTGAGGAAGTTGATATTCATCAGGTTTCAAAGCCAAGGCAAAATCAGGCAACGTTGGCGCTGTCTCCATGATTCTGTTATATGAACATTGACAAAAAAACATTATTTCATTAAGCAAGAATCATTATCAATTATTAAATTCAAAATATATTCAGGCAATAATTTACTCATTCACTCTGCAAAGCTTACCTCTCATAAGAGTACAGATCACGGTTTATTCGCACCTTGCTTGAAGTATCCTTAGGAATTTTCTCACACAGATATTTCATAGTCCCCCAAAGAGGTGGATTTCTGCACCATGACTGCCAGTTAGATGGACCATAAAAAAGCATATTACCACCAAAAATACTATTTTTTCTTTAACCAAAACAATGGTATGAGATCTCAATGATTAAGGTTCTGTTCATAAATAGGGGCAATGAGAATGGTGCCTAAACAAAGCTCTTATAAAATATGTAATATTCATGTCAAAGAGTTGAAGTACACAAACTGACCGCATATTCTAGGGAAAGGAGAAGGGATAGATGACTTCTTTGAGATCCTAACAAATGTTCCCTAATTTTATTTAAACAAATAAGTACACCAGAAGGTGTGGCTAAAATATTTTCAGGTTCTTGTATATATATACTGGGAACTTCATTATGATTTTCAACATATAGAAGAGATTATATTAAAGTTTCCAATTTTTACTTTTCACTGTCATTTTACTAAGATCCATAATGAGGACAAAAGATTATTTTACTTTCGGAGGTGAGACAAAGACCAAAACTATGAAGTTACTCAAGAATGGATGCCAAATTAAGGTGTTTCACAATTTCAATAAAATCAAGGGCATAGAAACTACCATGGACCATAGTTTAATGTTATTTGAAACAAAAATAAATGTGACATTTGCTAGTTTTCTAGCCAGAATTGTAAATAATCATCTCATATGTCACCTGATCACCTAAATCGGTAGCAATGAAACAAACGCATGCTGACCTCAGTGAGTTAAACCATGCCTAATGTGGAAGAAAATATCTACAATTAGCCTTGCAAATAGACAACAGTCAGGAACCAAACCTACCAACGGCCCAAGCTTAGTACTAATTAGTTAGCTGCTCAAAGTTTCTAACAAGGTGTATCTATATCACCGGCTAAGCAATTTTGGCAGAACACATCATATGCTAAAGGCGTAAGAACTTGACATGCCAGAAGTGCCATGAGAAACACTTGTCATTCTCTCAAAAGGAAGCATAAGACTAAGGTCATTGGCCCATGCAGAATCATATAGGCATCGTGTTTATTCCATTCATTCTAAGCATTCCTTTTATTATCTTCACATCCAGAGGATGCATGACTCATTTATTGGATCGCGTCTCCAGGCGCTTTTGAAAATTAAAATTAGAACTCTTTTCTCAGGAAGATAACATAAAAACATATCAGTTTTTATAAGGGATTATTATGAATAACCTTGACAATGGAGATGCTGCATTGAATGCATCACATAGCTTCTTACTTTCTTTGAAATACTCATCTGCCGCTTGCAAAGCAGCTACAGCCATCCCATGAGATTTCTCTGTGTTTCCCTCATCAAGAATCAAACCATGATAATAATAAGCTGCAGCCTGGTAAGATATCAATTACAGGCATAAAGGAATCAGTAAACCAGAACATTCCACTCAAGTCATATTACTATAAAGTAATACATAATAAATGAATAGCAAGATGAAAATTAGAGGGGAAGAAAGGCACAAACCTTTGCTTCAACGTACTTCCATTTCACAAAAAGACCATGCTTTTCGCCCCAACCATTTGTTAATGGAAGGTTCATTATATTATCTTGAGCCTGCAACAGTGTAAATAAAGTAATGTATGCTGGATAAATGTACTCATTTTAACATACTAATGCGCATGTGCATGCACATACACAGTGTACATAGAATTGAAATAAAGATTTGTCGTACGGAAAAATGCAAAAAATTCAGAATCAAGAGAAACAAGTTAGAAATCCTGTCAGAAATTTGGGATAGAACAAATAAACAGGATAAAATGAGTGCTAAGATATCCCAATGAGAAATAACTGAGACAAGTTAGTTACTTGGTTTTGAAATATTTTTAGAAAGAAACAAGCAAATTTTTCAACATAACAGAAATCATGCTAAAAAACCTTATGCAATGCAAAGCCATAAAAAATTTATTCCACGGACACAATGATACCCACTAAATCTGAAGTGATTAGTAGTTCGTATACTTTAACAAACTACTCTTTCATTCTACAGATATTGATTTGAAGTGCACAAGGCTCTAAACCACAAGGTCACATATTCAAGTACTAAATCAAGCATTGTTTACCAAGAAAAAAATTTATCTAAATATTAAATTTAGCAATCAACATAGTACTAAAACCAAGCAGAAGAATGTAGTAAAATGACAGTTACTATAATTCCATTCAATACAACTCACCAATCAATAATTGCTAGCATTAATTTAACAATGGAAAGATTTGCATTTGTACCTGTTGCCAATATTTCACCATCTCACACGCAAGTCTACGCTTCACAGCAAGAGTGGCTTTTGTACTATCAATTGCCATTCCAAGTTGGATATCTACACCCTATTACACCAATGAATAAATAAGCAAGTATACCCAAAATAGATATGAGAGAGGGAAAGCCATCTATATCTATATATTGAACAGTCCCCTTCACCAGTCTTCCATGCAATGCTGTTTAACATTTTATATGGTATTTCCCCACCCCAGATTTGAGAGTCACACATACACAAGTTTGATGCTACAGTACAATATTGTTCTACTCTAGTCTCATCGCCCTATCAAGTAAGACAAGACTTTGTTGTTGTTTGTTATCATATTCTCTTTACACCAAGCAAATTGATCCCCACAACATGCAGTGAAGCCCATTATTTATAAAAATGAAATCCCCAGAATTGTAGCATTATTATTAAGGAGTCCAGTCTAGTGAAACTTAATAATAAACAAATAATGTGATGAGAATCTTAGGAAAATCACACCCAAAAGCTAGCTGTTGTAATTGGAGAGTTCAAGGCCTTATCAATCTCACACTAGAATCATATACCTCCATTGTAAAATTGAAGCCTCATTCCTTGAAATTGGATCCTCACATAATGTGTGTAATTTTATAGTAGATGTAGGCAATACAAAATGTATAAAAGCATTTATGCATCTTCACCTAATAATTAATCTTTAGAGATGGTTCATAATATGCTATCTAAGCCTATCCCACTCTTACTGTTAGGCAACTCATTGTTGGGCAATTCTCAAGAGCGTCTTCATTCTGTCAAGTCTTGAACATCAATAGTGTGCGTTAAGATCCAACATTGGCCAAGTATATGGACAATTGTCCTTTAAGCTAGGTTTGAGGTTCAGTGAAGAATAGTCCATTCTCAATCTAATATGGTTCAGACCCAATTGGTTTATGAGACAGTATCAGAGCACTTCAATGACTAAGTAGACTAGAGTTTGATCATAGAACCTATATTCTTCTAAGTAAAAAATAAATTTCAATATCAAGGTAACATGGGCCAGTGTGTTGTGCACACTTCAATACTAATGAGCTTGTGTGAAGGGGTGTGTTAAAGATATAAAAGTACAAAACCATTCAAGTGTCTTAATTTAGCAACTGAAACTTTTCAGACAATTGATTCATGATATGGTTTCAGAAACTATCCCATTCCAATATTAGGTTCCTTTCACACTTGGAAATTACATATTCCAAATACCCAGTTCTGGCCACAAGGAGAATCAGTTAAGATCGTAAACTATTCACCTATCCGGGACATGTATCACTTATAATGACTTGGGCAATCCTTTCCTGAGTTAGCTTTTAGGATCAAGTTAGGCCTAGTCCATATAGTAAATACATACATAGCAGAGCTAATTCTGTTAATCATTTGCTTGGATAGACAACATAACTTTGTAAGAATAATGGAGAAGTTTGCTGCATTAAATATACTTACAAGACACATTAGTTTTAGTCATTAAATGTGATGATTTTTATTTCTTAATTCTCTGCTTGACGTCTTATAATTTAAGAATGCACAATGAACTATGAAAGGCATGAGAATTCATTTGGTAGGCCCGCACAAAAGAAAACATTAATACCTGTCCCAATGCTTGTAGACAGAGTGCTCGAAGAACTCCTTCCGCAAGGTCTACTGGTAAATTTCTCCTATAGTCAGAACCAATGGTAAGAAGATTAATAAAAATTGAAGATGACTGTTTTTAGATTACTCAAAACAGTGTGATGAGTCAATTTTATACACAGGTGCAAACCTGAGTTCAGCGGGCAACTGAGGAAGAACATGCCTGACAGCACAATCAAGATACCCAGCTGCCTTTAAGAAGATATCAACAGAAGCTCGTCTGCTTTCTGTTAGTAATTAACCAAAAGATCAAACATCCCGAAGTGTTGCATCATATAATACAACAAAGAATATTTTTCCAGCTAATCAGCAACCACAATATAAAACCAACAGGTGAAAAAATTATCACAAAATTGTATTATTCATTGAATCAGGAGATAAAATGTCCATTCCAAATTATGATAACTAAAACATGAAAATTATTTACTTCATATGCAATGCATGTGAATCAACTCCTACTTATTGGATGGATCCACCAACATGACAAGACAAAACGAAAAAAGAAAGCCAAAATTATATGTCTTCAAACTTCAATAGAAATGTGACTATTAATTAAGACACACCTTTCATGCCATATTTAAAGTATAAGTGAAGTATTTGCATAACCACAAAATGACCCACACAAAGAAGAAATAAGAGTAATTGAAAACTCTAGATATTCACTCAGGACTCTAATTGGAACTATTTTGATCAAATGTATTTTGGTTGTTTGATGTAATGAGCAATAAGATTATGGAGCAAGTAACAAGAAATTTGTTGACATCTACCAAAAAAATCTTATCATGCACCTTCTGATACTTTCGGCTGATGACCATCGGTGGATGTTCTTGGAAGAAGTAATAAATTAGCCTGTGATAGTGATAGCATTGCCATCAAGTGCAAAACTGACAACACTTCATACCAAGCATTAGACATGGCTGTTTCCTGTGAAAAAATTTCAGTTGCACCCAAGAAACAAAAGAGGAGGGGGGAGAGAGAGAGAAAGACAAAAAACATCAACATTCTTGTGTATGAAATAAATATCCCAATCAAAGCAGAAAAACATATGCATTTCAATTACCTCTGCATCATCTTCCTGATTCACCCAAACAAATTGAACTTTGTATTGTAAATGGCTTCCTGCACAATAAAGATAAGCAATTAATCAGGACATGTTATGGAGAGAACATGCATCATGTTTAAATGGACTAAAAGTCTAAAGCATGCTTTACCATCTTTGACTAATCCCAAAAGTACTGGCAAGTAGTCTTCAAGAGCCTGCTGAAGATCAGCCAGTGTTGAACCTCCTGAGGATGAAATTGTGTGATGCATCATTAAATTGATCAACTCATTCATTATTATAAAATGAATCATCCTTGCTAGCACTAACCATGTTGAGTGGCACTCTTCCTTTTGGTTCTTGTAATTGTAGGACCTTCTTGGCCAGCCATTACAACTATCCGAGTTCTAAGAGCAGACAGGCGTTCCACTATATTCTTAGACAAGTAATCACCAAGTGACTGTGCAAAATCAACGGGTTTGGGAATTCTTAGACCGGGAACATACACAGAAACTTCCCCAATACTCCCTGGCCTCCTTCTATTTCCACCAGAATCCTTTGGAGTGGAAACCAAGCACCCCATGTCCTGTGCACTATACCTGCTGATACAAAGAAGACACAGTGAATCACCACAAAGAATCTTGTGTTTGTGTGCACACAACAAGTTCCTATTGTCTCTGACATCAATCTTCACAAACTTATGAACAAAGTGATGGGAATAACAGTCCCACAAATATATTCCAGAAACAAAGATAATGATTCATCAATTAAAGTTTGAAAAGTTTTGAGAACATTTACAACTTACAGCGAAACTAACAGTAAAAAAGCCATCAACACTAGTAATTAAATGTCAACCAACAAAAAGGTGGTAGTAGGTTACTCACGAGCAGCATTACATTTTAAGTTGTACCAGAACTCTCCATATTATTTTAAAATTGATATATATTTTATTCAGCAACACTAATTTTTCTTTTATTTTTTATTTGGCCCTTTTTTCAGCAGCCTTAATGCTACACACTTCTTTATTTTTCTTCCTCATTTCATAATCTTAACCCATAATTAAAAATAAGAACCAAAGATTTATCCAACTAACCTTGTCCTTTGCCCTGGCAGTTCACTGATCAGGTCAAAAGTTCTGCTATTCTCTGTGCCAAAAATTCACAGGGGAGAAACGTGAGGTTGAGAAAAACTATAAACACAAAAGCAACTGGATCACAAGAATGGCATGAGACATGACAAGTGTGGTCCGTGTCAACGTTTCATTGTGATGTCAAAGGGAAAGGTTTCAAAAGATTGAAACAGACACGCATGCTAATAAAACTAAAAGGTAGCACTCTCCTCGTGTACCCCGTTACATCAACAACACAAACCCAACAACATAAGCTCAACCAGAATGAGAACTTCCTCAAGGTAAATTAGCTTCAAGGAAAAGGTTTTGGATCACAAAATTGAAGAAGTTGGCAACTGATATTCAGCAAAGAATGAGGATTGTTACTTGTGAGTAAAGAGTTTCCAAAGAAATCCAAACAAGCAACAACTGCACAAACTCAAAGGAACACTTGCAGCATTGTTTTATCTCTTCCTTGTACTAATTCATGAACCAACGTATCTTGTGACAGCTTCAAACCACTCCAACTAAATCCACCGATAAATTAGGAAAACGGTAATGCCCCAGAAAATCATAATGTTCCAGAAATAGACACTCATGTTTCAAGTTCAAAACTTTTTTAAAGCAAAGAAAAAAATGCTCCATTGGGTTGATGGTGATGAAAAATCACACAAAACCTTAAATTTCAGAACTGGGAATATTCCACCCCCAAAAGAAAAAAAACTTTGTCAGAATTCATCTCAACACATAAGTTGAACTGATTTTCCAACACGGTGAAATCCAAAGCAATACCCAACCCAGAAAAACACTTGTTATAAAGAGGAACAATTTCCACACTTGAATTTATCACTTCCAAGGAAGAACAAAAAAAACTGGACCCTGAAATCCAATTCAGAATCAGACGCAACTAATGAGTCTTACCATGAAAAGATAAAGTGTGAGCAATTGAGCAAAGCAGAGTGAGCCACCCAATTGCAATCCAATTCAGAATCAAAGGAACCCTAAAACAAGTAAGCAGAGCCCAGAAGCACAGTGACCCTGAAGCTGAAGATCAAAGAATCAAAAAGTAAACTTTAAAAGAATGTGATGCTAAGCGATTCCTTCTGAGAGACGAACAGAGACAGAGACACAGACAGAGACAGAGTCTTCTTTGAGAACAAAATTATAATTATATTTTAATTATTATGGAACATTGAGATATTGCTTCTTTTTATTTATAAACATAAGCTATAGCACTGCCTACAAGGTTGTGACATAAACAGCTAGAAAATGCTATTAGCATTAGTTGCCTTTATATATATTATTATTAACTATTAACCATTACTATTAATTTATTAGTCTACTATTAGTAGTAATGGCGCCCATTTTTGCAAAACCACGTCCTTTTAAAGCCTCCATTGATTCTCTCTCTCTCTCTCTCTCTCCCCTTGTGTTGCGTCTCCCTCGTTACTCTCTTTTTTTTCTTCCCTTTATTTTCTTTTACACCTAACTTTTATTAACGTGTGTCTTAAGATATAAAGTTTAAAAAGGAAATAGATTAAACTAAATCATATTCTATTTTCCAAAAGTTTAAAAATACTATTATATTCTTGAAGAGCTTGTTAATTAAATTAGAATCTATCATAAATATAAGTTGTATATATTGATATAATAATTTATAATTAAATACTAATATAAAAAATATACCATTAATATATTTAAATTAAATTCTTAATACTTAACAAAAGAAACGTTGTTTTATTGGGGCACTTGCAACGGCACGAATATAACTGCTACAATGTACAGAAGCATACACAAAGGGATTGCTTGCCGTCTCAGTCTTTTTTTTTTTTTTTTCCTAGAAATAAAAAATAAATATTTAATTTAAAACTTACAAGTTGGTACTATATATGCATAGATTAGGTCTGCAGAAAATTCAATCGCATACAACTGAGGTCATAAACCCTAGAGCTGATCCTGATCCATTCCCAATTGCTGCATGTTTTTTAATGAGCCAGTTTTCATTTGTTTTCATCATTGGTCGGTATTTTTTTTATGGATAAAATTATATTTTCCTCTCTCTTTTTAGGTAAGAAGAGAATATCAGTCCTTAAAGTGAGATCTAATATAAAAGATAAAATATAAATATTATTTTACTAAAATATATAAAAATTAAATTCTTCAAATTTCAGTGCGATTTTCTAATCAACAATTATTATTGCGTAAATTTAAAAAACAAAAAAACCTGACCCTCAATAGTCTGCGTCAATAAAATAGGAAGTGCCGGTTGTAAATAGCATTTAAAAACACGTGAATCACTTCCAAATCGTTAATGAGTCCTATTTATGACTACGAATGCCAAAACTTGAAGCCATCGTAAGTCTTCTTAATTAGTGTCTTTTGATTTTGATTTTCATAAAAGATCATTTTTATTAATGAATATTTGATTGTTGACGAATATAAAATTATTTTTATACTTAAAAATAAACAAAGACTTAATCCTTAAGCTCTGCTTCAATGCGTGCTTGGAAATAATTTAATTTTACGGTGACATCATTGAATGTAAGTTAAACTACGTTTAGTATCTCTTTTTCCTATTTATAATATTCTGCAAACTTCTTTTAATTAGCGATGTAGGGAAATTCTATATGTTAAGATGAGATGTGATTTAACGTTGTATTACATAAATTAATGTTAATATACACAAATAAATTTATAGAAAGTTTTTATTATATATCTTCTCTATTTAGGTTTGAATATGTACAATTCTTTTTTATGTTTAATATACTTAAGTTTAGATTATTAATATTTGGATACTATATTAAATATATATCTAAATAATTCGAATTGAGTCAGTAAAACTAATATAGTAAAGCACCTCTTTCAAATTTTAAATGCATTTGTGTTCTTAAAAACTCGAACCTTCTTCAGTAGAATAACTCTCATAAACTCATTTATGTATTTGATTTGATGATGAAACTTGAAGTCAAGATATCATAATATCTCATATTATGGACGGAATAACATGATTAAACGTCCACTTAATTATGATCATTTACTAATTAATTTATTGCAGTATGCGTGTATTATTAATGTAAACTTGTTTATATTAGTAATTAACTAATTAAAATAGAAAATAAGTACATTTTTAAAATTAATTATTATAAAAATTATAATTTACAAACGGTGAATTGTATTATTTGGTGAATATGAGTTGATATTTTAATTCGCTAAATCAAATATTGAAGGGCGGGGTTCCTGTCTTCACTTAAGAGCAAAAACATTGGAAATTTGATCTCATTTATTGTAAAGAGTGCTGACAGCATGACACGCGTAAAACACAATGGAATCTGCAAATAATCATTTTAATTCCACTGTACATCTCAAGACTAATGAATGGAATATGCAACCATATGGAGACTAATAAGCAATGCCTCATAATTATACAGCCTCTAACATGCATGATAGACCTTTCAGAACAGGAAAGACCGGCAAGTGTTGATGAATATTAATGTATGAACATTAATTATACAATATAAGTATCGATATATGTGTCCGTGGTGAGTTATGTGACGTGCCTTGATAGAAATGATATCTTGGCTTTGCTTACAGAAATGGGTATGTGATGAACAGTGTTGAGAAAGGGCAACATGTCATGAGAAAGAATCTTGTAGGCTTTTGCCACCACTTCAAGAAGCCGCCACTTTGGTGCAAAATGGACATGTTTCTTCTGACTTCTGAGTAGTAATGTCACTGAGGTATCATGTCGTATTTCTTTCTGGTTGGAAGAAAATGCATGAATCAAAGTTATATTAACTACACTCACTTTGTAATTGAGAATTAATGATCTCTAATTGAAAAATAAGTAAAACCAAACAAAAGCTAGAAAAGTTGAACATGGGGAAGCAATGAAAGATAGTTGACGTTAAGTGGTCCAATGTGGGTCCTCCCCACCATCCAAAAATATTTATCCTTTTGCTTCTTTAATTGCTATATTTCTTATTCGTCCCACAATTTTAGAAATATTTGGCTAGCTACCTCCTATTCCTACAATGTTATATCCGGGTATTTCATCTTATTATATAGTACTTATAAATATAATAATTTAAAAACTGGTGCATCTTTAATATGGGTTCATACGAGTAAAGCATGTAGTCACACGTCATTAAATTTAAAATAATAAAATTTGTCAAAACATGGACTCGCACAATTTAGTTATAGTAATAATATTTTAAAATTTTGACTCACATTATTCTCTCCTGTCGTGTATTCGTCTGCAGCAAAATTTTAGCTTTTAAATTGTCATCGAAAGATTATAAAACATTATAATATTTTATTATTAGTCAATCACACATTCAACTGAATTTATTTTTTTCTTTGTTAAAATTTATAATCACAAAATAATTTTGAGAGGTCTATTTCAAAAATTAATATTAAACATGAAAAAGTCATTTTAACATTTCATCATAAATAAAGGTGGGTGATTAGGAAAAACAATTTGATTGTCATTTATATTATTATAATTTTTTGGTTAGTCTTGGAAATGTCATAAGAACTCTATTAAAATTTTATAAAGTTTTGAGAAGCTAAGATCACTTCCATTTATTCCAAGAACTTATTCTGACTCTTGCTTTGTTATTCTGATGAAGTTAATTCAACTTTAATGGTAAAGCAAGCAATTTTTGTTATTCAATAGTAATCGTACGAATTATTTCACAATTAAATATTATTGAGATATTAACTAATAAATTATACTATTAACTTGTATGTTATTCGAAAAGTAAATGTTACCCGTATATTTGTTTATTATTTATTAGTCTATGTATAAAAGAATAGTGTCCCTTTGTAACATTTGTCTAATATTAATCTTTCTCAGTGAAATGTTATTCATAAAATTTTATTTTAATTCTCAAGTAACATATTTTTTTATTAAAATATTATAAAATCATGAAACAGACTTGTTTAATAAAACATAGAGCGCACTTTATTTTATAAACCGTGATAAATATTAATAGTAATGTTTAAAAATACGATGAATAACGTGTTATTAATATTTATTTTTCAATAAATATTGTAATTTTAAAAACTAATAATATATTACACCATAATAACAAAAACTTGTCGATTCATAAAACTTAGAATATTTATTTTTATTACTATAAAAATAAGAATTATATTTAGAAATTTCAATCATAATACCTGATTTTTTTAATCGTCACTAAATCAATAACAATTTTTTTTTTGTAGTGGGAATAATGCTTAAACATTTGATCTGGTCACTTGGGCTAACATTATTTAACAAAATTACGTCAATATAAACATCAAATACATTTGTGCATATGGAACAACATATATATAAAAGACGTGGCAATATCAATAAAATAATAATATAAAAAATATTTTGCACGTGGATAAACATTAAGGATAGATATGACAAATGATTTCGGCCCCGACAAATTCCCAAGACAAGTTGCTTTCACAGTTTCATAAGCATTGTCTGTTTATATTATATTTTAATATAAATTAATGGTTTTTTCACTGCTTTATATTTTTCACAGTCCTTATTACAACTTTAGTTTCAATGATATACAATTACGAATTAATAATGTCTTAAGAAAGGATAAAGTCACAGTTAAACCTTTATTTAGTTATATTTTGTTATTTTTTAAAGGTTGATTTACTTAAATTATTATTTAAATTATAAATATTTTTTTTATATTTTAAAATTATATATTTAATAAATGAAAGTTTTATAAGATCATTTAGAATAGAAAATTACTTTAAAAAAATTAAGAAATACAAAGTTTAAGAGGTGAGAAATCGAAGTTGAACATTTCAACCATTAGAGTGAACATTATATCACTCAAATATAGAACAATAAGGTTTATTTAGATAACTGAGTATTTGATAAAGATTGTTAAGTTGTTATCAAAATAATTAAATTTTTTCTAAAAATTTTAACGTATAGAGTTTAACTTAAATTGATTAAAAAAATACATAATTAGCTAATTTCAATTTCAAGATTTTAATAATTCAAGTAATAGTTTAAAAATTTTGTGAATTTGAATCAATTGAATTAAAATAATAAACGCAAGTAACTTGATGAAGAATAATAGGATAAAAATTATCAATCATAAAGTTCTGATTATCACAATATCTCAATATTTTAATTTAAGTTTAAACAA